CACACGATACGTCGCCTTGTATGCTATTGAGAACATCAACACTTAGCGTTTGGTCTAGCCGACTAATCACATATGCACACCGCTGCATTAATGTGCCGCCTCGCTGTTAATTAGGACGAGCCCCACGCCGTTGGTCTGTGAGATCGTGTACTCGAATATCCGTCGCCACGTCATGAGTCTAAGACACCGCGTTTGATACATAGATGGGGCTGTCGGTCTCAACACTCAGAAGCTCAAAAAATGTTTCTTCGCCCCACTGAGCATATCTGTATCATCGTCTCCTACGTGCGCTGCATCTTGGCTCCGTTTTGTCAAGCATGTCTTTTCTCTGACCCATGGAAGCATCACAAAGACACATATTACGCCATGTGGCACCACGACCAACAGATCTAGATCCGCGGAGAGATCGGCCCGCTCGCTCCGCTCGTTCGCATGGCAAAGATGGGGCCGTCAAAGGACCACGACCAACCAACATTGACTTGACCTTAAGCCCTTTCGCGGGCGTCCTGCACCCCTGACAATACATCGCAACACCAAGACGCCAGCGCTTCTTCACTCATGTATAACCTTGAGAGCACGAATAGAATTTCTGATTGAGTTGTTCACGTTTGTTGCGAATACCACGAACCCAAAGGATGCAATCTGTTCCTGAATGGCAAGGATGACAAACACACGGAGAGTCGAAAGCATATGACAGCATGAAGCCTCAACATATTCATGACTACTCGTATCCCTCCAACCAAGTTACCGCATTGAGTATACCGAATCTTCCAACTCCCTTCCCGACCGTTTGGTCAATCTATCCTGGTAGACCCTACTCGCCGTCGTGACACCAACGCATGCGGCTCAACCACACGTGAGTATGTGAAGGATATGTAACATGTCCAAACTTATGACTCCAGTACTAGTCGTGACAGATGTGACTGCACCTCTTTCTAACCGGATGCAAAGTCCACCATATGGTCACACGTATAAAGCATTTCCTCTTCACATTTAGTGAACAATGACTGCTCCGTTCGCCCTCTTGTTCGCTTCCACTTCCGGTTCTAGCCCCATCCTGCCTGTGAGTGTTTTGATAACCCTAGAGTCTACTCTCTTCTCTTCACATATCTTGTCGGGCAAGTCGCATATAGCTCGTTGGTGGCGGTACCGTTCCATATTTTCATCTCTTTGCGCTTGTCTTCCACATACAGTCCTGTTTCTTCTAGTGTTCAGTATCCTTTGTCAAAGCCTAGGATTGTGGAACATCCTAGTGAATCGGGAGTGAAATCCAATTACGTATGACTGAGTCTCCGACAACTCCCTCAATACGAGCTCATTATCGTTTGCATTGCCGGATTGATACTCTTCACCACCTTCGGAGCCTGGCATTGAGACCGTCCGCGTCATAACCCAAGTTCTACCCCGCCGTAGTCCGAGCGTAAAGCACATACGTCTATCAGATTGATAGAGTCAATACCTGACTGCTCCGATTCCTCTCCACAGCTCCTCGACAGACATAAGGGTCCAAGCGGCAAGTGACCGAGACTTTCAGCCGACTCTCAAAGCCTTTATCGCGACCAATTCTCCAAGGTAATCCACACCACTTCTTAACTTTCCCTCCAACTTCTTCAGAACACTGCGATCAACATCTGAGCTGGCTCATTCTCCGCAAGGACAAGGAGACTAAACCAAGATGACTGATCAACCAACATCGCCATCTAAGCAAGGCTCACCACGTGGCGCTATGGATCCTCCAGCGACACCGGGTGCAGGTCGAAGCGCCAAGGATTCGACCTCAATACTCATACCTTCACCCGCACCCGCACCCGCACCCGCTCCTTCGACGCCAGGCCGAAGTGACCGCACACTCCTTCGGAGTACACCACGCGCTTCCAACAGCCCTTTTCCGACCCGTGCGCCCCGCACACCAGGAGGTTCATCATTGACGCTTTGTACCGTTGACGAGTCAAAGTATAGTAAGGTGACTGTACACACAGCCAAGTGTACCGAATGCGACAAGCGCAACATGGATACCATGCGACGCTGTCCAGGCTGCACATTCCAAGTTTGCCAGCCATGTTACGAAAAACGCTTGAAGCAGGATAAAGGCCTTCTTCATGGCAATATGGCGACTCCAAGTGCGGCTGGAGGAGGTCTCTCCGCCAGTGGCGGGAGCAGGGCCGTGAGAAAGAAGCCACTGCCGAGCACAGAAGAGATAGGCGACAAGATCGAGAATGAGGAAGGTCCCAGTCATATGAAGATTGAGACTACCCCAGCTATGCCTAAGTCGTCGGCAAAGAAGCGTGCGATCAAGAAGAAGGCGCCTCTGGATGAGACTGAGGAGTCTTCCGAGGACGAATTTGAGCCAGACGACACTTCCCCAACACCCAGCAAGCGCCGCCGTACTGGTCGCCGTCGATCTGAACTCACGTTTGCCGAGAGTGCTCTTGCTACCGCTCTCCGAACACCACCAGCTACACGTGCAACTAGAAAGTCACTCCCAGCTCCTACACACCGAGCTCCATCATTCCCAGCCTCTGACCCTGGTAACGCAGGAACCTCGGTTGGTTATGGGCCAAGCGGATTCCTAAGCAGCGACTTCATGGGTGACAAGGATCTCTACAATGCTGGCATCAAGCCATACAAGGATCAGCCATTGTTAGCTCGCCGGGAGCCTGTCAATTCCAACCCGGCTAACAGGATTCCTGATATCATCAAGCGGGGTGGGAAGCCAAGGCCGAGTAACCAGACGTACCACAACATCCAGAAAAGTCTCAGAGCGAAACTACAGCAGAACCAAGTACACGAGACAGACCAAGATGAAATTGTAGCTCACACGGCTGGGCAAAGCGTAAGTCAAGACTTTTTTTTTTTTTTAATAGTCAACGATGATGGAAAAGCTGACAAGATGAAGAAGGCTGAACAGAATGCAGACCCGCAGACTGTTGCAGCCTTTGTGGAGAAGGAGGCAGCTAGGTACCAGAACGAGACCATGGACGAAGACGAGAACGAGGCCATCCTTAGCGCAATGAAGAGTGCGGCGCTGGTGTGGAGCAAACAAACGTACAAGAAGCTGGACTCGGATACGCAGCTCGCAGTGCAACCGGGCCTGAAGCTACGTCTTGACCTCATCGACAAGATGTTTCGGGAAGAGCTGGCGAGGTTGATGGGCGAGCATGCTGACCGCATCATATCGGAATTGGGCATCAGTGTCGAGAAGCCTGTGGCAGTTCCACCAGGTCAGCTGTTCAAGCCTGCCTAGGACGAGCGAGGTTGTTGTACCGATCCCGAGCGATGATGTAATTCGTCCCTTTATGGTTTCTCTGCATGGTTAGACTTGTCAGTGATAGATGGGTTTTTCGGGACTTGTACCACCCTATACAAAAGGGCAAGTCGGTATTGATTGGATATGGAGAGCTTGTCAGTTGCCTAGGATAGCAAGTCATTGCCGTAGGAGCAAGTATTCAGAATCCATTTGCATCAGCATTAGTATTGATGCATAACATGATTGGTGTGGCGCGACATTCCTGAACAGAGTCTTACCAAACAAAGGACAAAAAAGGTCCGAGAAGATTCCATAATGAGACAGACATGATTATGCTAGTACTAAGAAAGACGTAAGAAGAGGCTTCATGTCAAGATAGAAAGACAACAGAAAGGAAAGATTATGGGTATCCGTGTTGGCGCTCATGCAATGCAGAACAATATGAAAAGGTGCAGAGAGCCTCAGCCCAGGCTAGGGGTCCAGAAGGTGGAACCGACTACAGGTCCTGCGGTATGGGCGTCTCTATCTCTGACCGAAATGGATCGTCAGCTGTCCCTTAGCTGGCTTGATCTCGTCGAGCTCATCCTCGCCCTGGTTGCCGACAGCGTTCTCCAGCCAAGTTGTCTCGTCATCTTCGTTGTCACCAGCGGAGGATGGGCGCTCTGTTCGTATCGACTTGAAGCGTTCGTTGAAGAGATGGGCGTACTCGTCGTTCTTGGAGGGCTGTTGGGTGACTTCCGGGAGGGCGCTTGGTTGAGAGACGGGGATCAGTTGCCTGTAACAGATGAGCGTCATGTCCTTATTAAGATGGAGGAAAGTGCGATGGCTGGAAAGGAGGGCTATGAAGAAGGAGCGGCGGAGGACGAGGAAGGCAGGACTCACTCGTTCGTCTCAGCACAAATACGCTCCAGGTTCTCTCGCTGACGGCGAAGCTCCTCTGGGTCGGGCTGGGGCGCGTTGTGGGTGCTACTGGCGGTACCATAGTTGGGCTGGTAAGGGTCTCCGAGCAAGTGCGAGCTATCTGAGTGCTGCAAGAAAGTGTCAGCGATATGCATTGAGCGACAGCAAACAGCATGACAGGACTCACGTCTGCCTCGGAAGTCTTTCGCCCTCCTAAACACGACGAGCAGATGCCCATTGTTTGCGCGTGACGTAGTTGGTGGGTGCGATGGAATGCGAGCTGGCGTAGGAGCGAGAGTCTATGGTCTATATCGGCGCGATGGTGGAAAGGCGAGCAACTACCCAAAGCATGCTGTGTAGCCTGTGGAGAGGAAGCTGGCGCTCTTGCTGTGGTTGACGAGCGATGCTTGCTTGAATTGTGATGATCGACACCGGCAATCTCCGATATCTTGGCAGACAGCCCTGGCTGGAGGACGAGCCGCATCGCTACCTTTCTTTCACGTGTCTACTAACGAGCCTCATTAATCACCACGGACCTTCGTGTCATACTTAGCCTGTATCTACGGTGAGACCATAAACTGGCATTATATCACGGTGACGCGTCAGAACAGCCGTTTCCTGTATAGTGCGGGTATGATTCAGTACGCAAAGACAGACATAATGCGGCGAGTACTGGCTTGCGATCTTGTTGTAATGATATTTTGGTATTCGCTAAAGTCGGCAACACAAAAGACGATTGCTTTTGAGGCTATCTCATAGAACCGTCTTGCGTGAACGTCATGAAGTACTGTCTTCGATGAACTCTAAAAACTACTGTCTTCTCATCCTGTCCTTTGAATACTTCTAAACACAATTATTCAAGGATCTCCCCTTGTTCAGATCCACTGCTCTCCCCGCTTTCTACCCTGAACAGGTTGTGCTGTTCGTTGTGCACCGACGCATTGTACACACCTGCATCGATGTCACGTGTCGATCCTATTGCACTAGCTACACCACCCTTCGCGCTTGCGTCAACAACGTGAGCTTGGCGAATGTCCGCTTGCGGATCCGATTGAGCTTCGTCTCGAGCAGTTGCTCCCGGCGCTTTAGGAGCTTGGGTTGCACGGTGACTTGAGGTATTTGGAGTTGCCGGAGGTTGGCCAACTTTGTTTGTAGCTCGATTCGGACCTGGCATTGGCGACGAATTCTTACTCTCTTGATTTCCCGGAACCGAGCGCACAGCAGGAGGTGGAAGGAACTCTTTTGACGGCGCTTGAAGCTGTGGTCTAGCTCTTGCTTGTTGCGGTCGAGCTTGCGCTTGTGGACTATCGACGCGTGATTGTGTGCTTGCTGAATTCAGTGGATGGCTGTCAGCGTAAGCTGCAAGTCGTTCTGCCCAATCTCCCACCAAACAGTCATTCGCACTCTGTAATGTCCTCAGTGCATCAATGTCCAAGCCAATATCCTTCGGGATCGAGTCTGGGCTTGCATTCAGTGACAAAGGTCCTGCCGTGAGAAAGTTCATCAGGCATACTAATCGGTAGTAACTGTCGAAGCCAAGTCGTCCCCAGTGCTTATGGATCCGTGGTATAGGAACCTTTACCAACTCACTAACGAGGATATGGGTCGTGGGATAAAGGCGTTCAGATCCAACCACTGGTACCACTTGAAGCTGGTCATGTGGACTGTCATTCCCAGCAGGTCCGGCTAGATCACCCTGAGTGGCTACCCCCATATACTTTGGATAGTCCGACTCTGGAATCCGATGCATGCCTCTTAAGCCGCGACTACTCGCGCTGCGACCCAGCCAGCCAATGCCATAGCCAGGCTCCACTTTGAAAAGGATGAAGGGAACATCTTTCTTGATGTATAGTCTGCCTTCGGAGGACAGTGTAAACCTCGCTCCAATCTCCGCTTGATTGTCGTAAGAGAAGTCGCTATGTCGAACGGACACAACATCGACAGGGCCATATCTTCCTGTCACGTCTTGCAGAACTTCTGGTTTCATGAAGTATTCTGGCCCACAGTTGAAACTCTTCCCTTGGTTATGATCTGTGATAGTGTAGCCCACATTGTAATGCCTGTATGGTGATCTTGCTGGGCGCCAACGGTCAGAAGCGCCACGTCGTCCTCGTTGTGTTTCCTGCTCGCGACGAGGTTCAGGATTAGGGCGTCTACGACGATGTTCGGGACTTAGAGATCTGCTATAAGATCGATCGCGGGATCTTCTACGATACCCTTGAACTTCATCTCGGCGGGGCGATTGCCGAGGTGAAGACGATCGACCTCGATGGCTAGACTCTCCTGGTTCATTGTAGTCGAGGAAACCATATGGTGATCCAGATTCGGTGTCAGCGTGCCGGGTATGCGGACGATGATCATCTGAAGGCTGGTCTACTGATTGGCGTCGATGAGGCATGATCAGATCTTCGCCCTCTATGCGTCAAGTTGTGGTTGAGAAAGATTCACCGCGGTTGAGTGTTCGTGTCGATGGGGTCATAAAAACTGCAGTTGTGGGAAGAACACTGCTGAGGTACATACAGGCCTTACAATTACATCGATCCGAGTGAATGACGGGGGTCATTGCATCTGACTCCCGGTATATCGAGGCTCATACTTCGTGAATTGGATGATGAACGTAGCCTAATCCCGTGATTTCGCTGACAGTTGTAGGACAGGACAAAACCGTATGTGTGAATGAACCTCGTGAAAGAATTCGGCTGTCTTTGTTGTAATGACACTGGGTTCCTTAAAGCGGATGAATGTGGGGTTTTCACTTCCTTTGTTCAGGTCTATATCATCATTCTCCTCATCGTCGTTAAAACTCCTTTATCCAAGCTTACGTCTCACCGAAATCCGTCATCATTCCATCTTGTACTGCCTGACATGGAGCATCACCACCTTTTCTATTCTGATTACGAGCCTGACTATCATTCCAACCAACTAGACAGTATCTATCGTCGATGGACGGTAGAAGGAAAAGACAAATTGGTATGTACCAATGGATCAGCGAGACTCATAGACGTTCCTGAGGATCAGGGGACTGTTGCCGCGGTGTTGCTATCCGAACCACTGGCTGGAAAGATACAGAAAGCTTTGTGTATCGCTCACTCGTATTGGACTTCCCCTGAGAAAATTGCTGCTGAAGAGAAGACCCGTTTCGAGAATGAAGCAAAGACGCAGTCCTGGAAGGATGAGCTAGAGTATCAGATAAAGTCTACAAAGAAGAAGATGAGGAGAACAGGGGGGGCGACACGTGAGCAAAGAGTCGAGCTTGTAAAGCTTCTTGAAGAACGCATGAAATGTCAGAAAACGCAAGAATGGAACCAACGCCAGCGTCAGACGCACGAAGATACAGTGAAGTTGGCCAAAGAGAGATGGAGCAACGCCTGGTTTGCAGTACAGCAGGAACTCGATCGTCTATGGGTGCTCGCAGGGAGAGTCAACGAATCCCGGCATGGGCAGACATACGCGCGAAGTGCCTCAGTCTCCATAGACGGAGAATTGCAGTGCCACTCCACATCTCGAAGTCCAAGACGTCGGAACTGTGATCAAAATCAGAGGCTAGAAGCCAGATCACGTAGTGCAAACCATCGTTCACATGCGCATGGACGAGGCTGTACGCGATCTCATCACTCTGCGTCTCGCCCTCGTTCGAGAAGTCAGAACAGTAGGGTCAGAGATCGTAGGCGCGAGCCTAGCGCACATGTACATCGACAGGCGCGATCAAGCCGGCGGGATCGTGGGCGATCGCGTTCTCGCTCTCAGTCCTTCTCAAGGTGGAGCGACGACCGCCGGTACAGAGACATGACCGTCTGGCCAGCTCGCTCGGCTGCTTCCGGTGCGGAATTGAATCGTTTGGCGGATTCCATGTGCGATACTAGCAAGATTCTCCAAGGGTTTCTGGATGTTACAAAACCGGCGCAATACTTGCCCATAACGGGCGGCAATCGAGACGAAGATGTTGAGGTCGTCAGTTTTGGAGTTGCGCCATCAGCTAGTATTGCAGATTGTATTGGGCAGTTGGATAGCGCAGTGACTATCGACGATAGTGGGGCGAGTACAGCAGGCAAAGCTTTCCCGGATATCGCACCAATCTCACAACAGGCTCAAGAGTTCCAGGACGGCCTTCGAAAACTGGCGTTACAGTATGACAGCGGGAATACGCAACCCCAACAATTTCCTGAAGCTCATAGTTGTCATCCTAATGGCAGCAAGCGGAAGCGAATTGACCGAACCCTAAGTGAAAGGAAGTTACAGAAAATGTCACCCTGGATAGCCAGCGATAGTCGAACGTCAACTCTCGAACATACGGCTGTCGGGTGCGTACAGGGAGAATCGGGTATGCAACGCGTTGCAGGACAGACGCCGGGATCTAGTAGACTGTCCATTCGCGACTTCTTTAAGCCTGGCTGCGGAACTGGTGAGAGCTTAAACATGTCAACCCTAGATAGATGACCGAATGCGATAAGGATTATAGTTTTCGGATGAGTCGTAGCCACTGATGTGATCGAAAGTGGTTCTTACAAAAAGTTAACATGTGTTGCGATGGTGTTACTGCTAAAACGAGATTCTATTGGAGACTCGCAATGAAGACTAATAGTCGTTAGTGATGTCACGACGCGTACTTAGCGTGTTTTGCATGTCGCTTTCGGATTAGCTCAAGATGCGTCCACTCGACACTTCACTCTTCTTTGTCTGTTGACGGCTAGCATACCGTCGCGCTCGAAGCCCACGAGTCTTGTGCATGGCACTACCTGTCGCAAGCGAATTCACGATACTGATGCACGCGCTGCACGGTCAGCCAGCACGCTTGAATCACAAGTGCACCATGTAAAGAGAGACGAAAGAGTATGGGACTACAAGCTCTCAGTGTTATGGACAATACGGATTTCAAGCCAAGATTGGATACAACAAAGCCTACGGTATTACTGTAGCCAGACCGTCTAAGAGCCATCAGCTTACGTCACGACCGTCCTTTATTTCCCACACCGATACCTTAATACACTCGCTACGCCCGACCGAACGATACTCCTTCACATCATGAAAAGCTCAGCGATTCCCACCGCGATTCCCAAGAGGAATCTCTAGTCGTCTCAGGAATGGAATACGCATGGGCTCCATTCTCACCTACAGGGACCGAACACACCCTATATTGCTCGTCGATTGAATACAGAATGGCTACATAACTAGAGGCTAAATGATGTGCGGAGCGAACAAGAGGTTTGTCTGCGCCCAATTAACGACGACGACCACCGCGTCCTCTGCCGCCACCCGGCCTGCGTTCTCCTGGACCACGATTGGTCTCATGGTAGTCACCTTGTCCACGACCGCGGTTGCGATCGCGGTTGCTCGGCTGACAATTCGCGTTATAATTGAGCAGGCGATCGCCATCGTGGTCATCATACTTGACGGCATTGGCTTCGACCAACCCGTACGCGTTCAACGTAGGTTTATTGATGTAATTATCAAGACGCAAGTCAGGAGGCTGTTCGAATCGACGTGTCGGCGAACGCTGATGTCGAGATTGAGATCGGTCGTAGTCTTCTGACCGGTGGTTAGTCTCGTCACGTGTTTCTGGTCGTCCACGCCTTTCAAGGGTTTCGGAGCGATGTTGAGGAGGCGGTGACCTTCTTCGAGAATAGTCTCGAAATCGACCGTTCTGACGATCGCGCGGTGATCGACTTCTCGACCGACCACGTTGCCGATCAGGATCCTGACCATACGTAGAACGAGCAGAAAACCTCCTTCCAGCACTATTGTTCCGATCGCGTTCGAACCGCACCTCAGTTGCGCCGCGAGGACCCCTAGGAACGCGGGGAGTAGCGGTGAGGTCTTTATACACAGGGGCATGCCCTGCAGGCGGTGGAATGTATGGGGAGAGAGGTAACATCTTGTCTGCTGTGGGAAAGAAATCTCGCCTTACTCGTTTTGGTACGCTGGGTGGGGATCTAGGCGTCCTGATGTCTGCTATTCCGCGCTGCACTGCGGTCACGTTGACCCCCGTTGGGGCTTCAGGCATGACTGCAATCCCGAAGTAAAAGGCGTTGCGAATCCATTCAACGCTATTGTGACTTTCGTCTTCGAGTCTGCCCGCATATTTGAAACCGTCGGTGGGGATGACTTCTTGACTTACAAGCACATTGAAGTTACAATGGTCCTTCAAGTCCTGTACTGGCCAGTCTCTCGCATTTGTCGGATCCATGAAGATATTTCCATGGGGGCTGTCTTTGGCTTCGATATATCTCGGCCAATTCCTACGGTCAGATCGCAGCAATCGTGCAAACTGCCATCGATCCCTGCGATTTGTCTTACTCAAATCACTGTCCCCAGTAGTTCGGCCCCAGGTGCATAGTAGCACATTCGGGAGGACCTTCAGGACTAAGATAAGTCTCCAGCCTGAAAGCATGAGTCCACGAGCAGTTAACCCACATTTATCGCCCAACTGCTGTTTGGGATTCGTCGCATACTCGGAAGTGCGGAACCAGAACATGTCTCCGGAACTGAAGACATGATCCAAGCGACCTTGTATCGGGTTGGGGACCTGAGTCGACCATTTAGACATTATCATTGTGTTTAATCCTTCGTACTGGGGGTAAAATACTGCTGCAAGATGAGGTATTTCAAGACCGAGATTTCCGCGCTGTATGCTGCCACTGTTGGAAGCCATCCATGAAGCGAAATCTTGCATCATGGCCAAGAACTGAAGTTGACCATCGTATGTGTTTGGGTCGATACTGAGAATGGGCAGTCGGCGTAATCTTGCGTACTCTGCGAGCAACTCCTGTCCCTTGTTGGGGGATATGTCAGTAACGACTGCAGATTGCAGCTGTTGTGGGACAGAGGGGCGATGCGTTGTGTCCTCAAGGCCATCACGAGCAGGGCTACGCTCTTCTCGTGGAGATGGTGGAGATTGCGAGCAATTTACAGCTGTGTGACTTCCCTCTTGGTCATCGACAACCGACACGCGCTCTTGTTGAGAGGAGTGTGGCTCAGGCAAATGATCTTTTCCTTGAGGGGTTGTAGCATCTGGCAGATTGGAAAGAGCCGGATTTGTCGGTTCCCTTGTCGAGGTATCTGAGTCGCTGTTCTCTGCTTGTTCGCGCTGAAGTGGCAAGGGGTCGTCGTTGGGGAGCGACGCAAAACGCCTCTTGGGAGTTTCTTGTGATCGGCGTGAATGCTCTTCCTCTACTACAATTAGCAAAGTGTATAAATTAGTGGAGATACCAGGTGCTACCTTCGTCACGATGGCCAGTCATTGTTGGTAAACTGGTATTAGCGAGTCGTCCCTATGATAAAGCGGTTGAGATCGCGTTAAATGCCCAATCAAGGAAGTGGTTGTGTAGTGGCGTTACTAGAGGTAGGCTGAAAGAGAGCAGAAGTGTATGTAATGCAAGGTCGAAGTGCAGTAACACACAACAGGTCCGTCGGCAGCAAGAACCCTAGGCTTCCACAGAAGACCAATTCACCATAGTCATGGGCTTCCTACCATGGCACTCGATTGACCAAGGGAGAATTATGATACGAGTAAGTGAATGGTGTATGATTTTTTAGTGGTTGTATCTGTCAGTCTGATGGTATGCATACGATGTACATCAGCATTCATCACAAACCTGATGATCTCCATATGCTTCGAGCGTGTTCAGATCTACTCAACAAGCCTCAAACAGCTTCATGGGCTCCAATGTCTCATATGAAAAGGGCAAATCTGATGTTGTTCCCAGTAAAGTCTTTCATGAGAGCAAGCTGGGTATAGCGTACTTGATATCATAAACGCCGTCTTTGTCTTTGTTATACAAAGCGACACTGATGTCAAAGGGTCATGCTGGCTTGATCATTCCACTTAAAGTCACAGATAGTTCGCGCAACTGCTCGTAAAAAGAGGAAACTCTCTTCCACCAAGTAAAAGTCATGTACGATAATGCAGAACTAGATTCGACTTTCTCGGAAAGAGCCCGTGAAACATGGGTCGTTCGAACTGCCAGTAGCTCAGCTACGGGCGGTCTGCAGCCGCGCCTTGCAAACTCACGAGATGGCGGAAGCAAAACTTCTGTCCTTGTACTGACAGAGGAGCTCGAGGGTAAGATCCAGACAGCCCTCGCTATAGGATGTGGTTACAGATCTGCACTACAAGATGCTCAGAAATGGAGGCGCCGGAAGCTTATGCAGCAAGCTGACATCGCCGGGACTCTTGAATCATTCAAACACCGCTTGAGTGTCAAACGTTCGGAGATCATATTGAACAAAGAACCAACCGTGTCGCAGAAGAAGACATTGGAGACCTTATCCCAGAACGTCGAGCGGCTTAAGGCTAGTCAAGCTATTCTCGAAGAAAACTTAACAACAGGTGAACGAAACCTTGTGCATGGTCTCAACAGATGGCGTAAGGCTTGGGCAGACGTCGATAAGATATTAGTCAAAGTTTGGCGAGATGCAGGGCGATTGGTGCCAAATGACGATTCTGAAGGAGACGATGAAAACCCAACGAGAGATAGTGGTTCGAAAGACAAAGAAAGACGCAAGAGGGCTCATCCTAGTAATAATGATATAAAGGATATACTGTCAGCTATGCCGGAGTTGGACTCTGGTCGACAGAAAAGGGCAGAAAGGCAACGACGCGAGGTCTTGAGCTGGAGACACAGCGTCGAAAGCAGTTCGCAAGCAAGTATGGTTGATGCGCAAAGCCCTGGAAACCGTCAATCAACAAAGCGTGCAAACCTTCATGATAGCCGGCGATCCAGACGGCGTCACCAAAGCAGAGGGAGTGATATCATTCAAGACCACCTCGGATATCTAGCACCAAGCACTCGTGATCAGCAGAGTGTACCGCAGCCATGCAGTTCCAGAGAACATCACGCCGACTATAACAATCTTCCGGCTCATGAGAGCCACCCGATTAATCGTCACAACGACAAGCAGCCATCTCCAATCATATCTCAACATTCGAGCATGCTCCCACCACCATCAATGGAAAGCAGGCATAGTCCTGCGCCCTCGGTAGGCATGCAAAATGGGACAGTTAGACATGATGCTCACCAAGAACGACGTCGAGACGGCCGATCTCGTAGTCCAAGACGCGATCGACTTCCCTCACGAGATACACTAAGATATCGCGATCGCGAATCACACGAAAAAAAGCCGAGTGGGGCTCGCGATGAGAGTCTTCGAGCCAGGGAAAGGAGTTGTCGACCGGAAGAAGATAGAGGGCGCTGTATGTAATGTAGTTGTAAAGAGCGTTACCGTTTACTATATATTGGAGCATTATGTCGCGAAACAGTGTCTTCTGTAGTATCTATAGGAAATGGGATTTCAATCGTTCGTTGTTGAATTCTCTTGTCGAAAGAGGGAGAACGTTCATATCTTAAGACATGATATGGTTTATAGGAGTAAGGTGTGTTGTATTGAGATGTGACTAAGAAGAGGGCAACTCCTCCTCACTGGTATGTCGTGATATATCATCAAGCTTTCTAATGAATCACAACCATCGATGCATGTGCAGTCGATCAAGCTTACCATCAACATCTTCTACCTCTATCAGAGACAGCTCAATCTGATTGGTCACGACGCGTGCCACTTCCCTCAAGGTGCTTCCCGTCCGCGCTCGGTGTGGGGCTTGGTGTGTTATGGCTGAGATTGAAGGTCTGATTCAGCTCTTGTGCGTTGAAGTTTGAGAGATTAAGAGCAGTCCCACTATGCTGCTTCTGTGCGTTCTGCGCCATTGTCGAACGCTGGTTGATAACATAACCGGACTGGCGGTTTGTATCAGCACGCGAACTGCGTCTCACTCGATCTACACTAGTAGTGTTGACCTTCTTGCCCTTGGAACGTATATCCTTCTGCGATTCATGCATTGATAGTACTGGTGCTTGCTAACGCGGATGTTATGCAGTAGGTGAAGCTGTTTGAGGTGAAATCGCGGGATCCCAATTGTTTGCGGACACAACGGGAGGCAATGCTACCGGAGATTGGGTCGTGTCTGTGTGATCAGAGGCTGAGTAGGTGGAGCTGAAGACGCTTGACTCTCGAAGAGGCCTCTCAGACCCATGAAGTGAGGGATGGGCATCCAGCTTGCTGTACAGATGATCTCGCCTTTGTTTGTCGTTTGGGAGGGGCATGTGATAACGAGGAGCGCGCTTTGCTGACTGAAGGCCACGCTGCACGGCGGTCAGATCCATGCCTAACGGACTAGCAATAATATTCTCACTCGAGCTGTGTGCGTTTGCCTTGATCCCAAGGAAGAGGTCGCGGCTATGGTTTTGGAGTCGTCCTGCAGGAACCATGCTCCGGGTAGGCTTGTGCGGCTCTGCGTCTACTGCACAGAAGTGTGTATTTTCGTTAACAGCCTGGCCCCTACGACGCGTTTCCGGATCGAACTCCAAAGAGTGGTGAGGTGTGCCATTCCCAGTAGCTCTCCCATTCCGTATTCGGCCTTTGTCAGGGTCATGAAGACGTGCGTGCATCCAAAGATCGTCTTGGTTCAGGTTCGATACTCCCATGAAGCAAGTGAAGTTACCACTGCAAGTTTCGCTGATAAGGACATGTAAAAATAGAGTTGTATGTGGGATATCTATCGAAAGAGAATATTTCCTAGTTGAATAGTCAGAATTTCCTATAATTCGTCTTTCTCTCCCTTCCACCCATCACCAACTCCTCTCATCCACTGCACTCCAACCAACTTCAACCCCTTCTTAGCCGCCAATTCCTCTGCTCTGAAGCTTCTCCTCTCTACAAATTCCTCTCCTCCAACATCTGCCTTCTCCAAGCTCTCGCCCGCGCTCTCTTCAAAGAGGAGGAACAGATACCGATGCGGCCCGCTCTCGTCCTTCGGGCCAGGTGCCAAGTATTGCGTCAGCGTCTTTCCTCTCGTGGTGATGTCGTCTGGAGACGTTGTCGCTGATGGAGAAGGGATAGCGGCGACGACCCAGTGGCGCCAGTACCCAAACTTCGGGTCATCTGGGGTCGGCGCATCTGGGTCGATCATCATGAATGTGTAGGTCGCGGCGGAAGATGTTGGCGGCGAAGAGATGGAGATAATAGGTTGCTCCTTGACCTGGCTCACGCGGGCGAGGCTTCCATGTTCAGGAGCCAGTCCGGAGGAGAACTTGACGCTGAGGTCCAGGGCGGGGGTGAAGGACTCTGGAATAATAGCGGAAGGGAGGAGCTTGGCGCTCTTCAGCGAGTCGATGAGCGCATTGGCGGACATGTTGATGTGCGTAACCTCCAGAAGATTTCTAGGTAGGTGGTTTGAACCTTGGGAAAGCGAGTGTATCTTCGTAGAAGTTGATGCGCTGATGTAGGTAGTTTTGTTGCATGATGTGAAGGCCAAGGTCGATTGGTGGATAAACCTAGGTCTTGCCTGGTTCTCCGCTTGAGGCTCCGCTCTTGCTCTTGGCGACTTCATGAGGCATAGTTTCGGTGTGAAATAGACGACAGCGAAGGTATGTGACGTCGGCATAGCCGTCTACATGCCGAAACATACACAATATGATCGTGAACTACCTATATATCCCGGCGCGTGATGGGGGCCAAATGAGTAATTCTCTGCCCCTGGTCGAGTTGGACCTTCAAAAACGCCCACTTTTGGAACTTCAAGTAAGACGTTCGCGGATAGCCGCTGTTATCGGACAACTGTAGAGTGTGCACCATGGTCCCTACGTCTTTGTCTTACCTAGATAAGATGCGGAAGGGTCTGTCATGCATGCAGCGAAACCTTTCAGCGAGAGGTTATGATGGCGTCGTCCTTTGGTATCCAGTCTTCTAGTAGCATGAGTAGGATCATGCAAGGTTCTTGCATTGAAGAAGATAATACATTGAGGTTTTGACAGCCGCGGGATGCAGACGCATGCTTTGAGAAGCCAGGTCCAATATCGATAAGGCAAAGCGCTAGGCTGGCTTTGGCGCAGTCCCAATCCGGTTAGCCCGCGTCCGCGTCATCTTGGCATTGCGGCGTGGTCGTCAACCAGCGCCCCGGAGTCTTCCCACCTGCCGCATCCTCTTTGCTCATCCCACGAAGCTCATGCATATCGGTGCGATTGTTCCGTTCTACCTCTGTGTTTTTGTTAAAAACTTTCTCACTACAATGGCACCATTACCTAGTAAAAGCTCATTCGACACTCCTTAGATCACGATGATTCTCCTGACGGATTCTTGTAAGATGTGACCATGGCCCATTGTTAGTGATCTTCCAAAACCGGGGAGGTGATCCTACAAAGATCCATATAAAATCTAGATGTTCCGCACCGCATGCTAATGCAGGGTCGGCAGCGTATATTCGTTTTAAAAGGCCGGTCAGCCTCGCTGGCCACCTGATATCGAAGCCTACACATTCTTACTGCTATGAGACTCTTTGGGAAGATAACATCTGGTATCTTGGCTGTAAGCGTAGGGGTGTCGGCCCAAGATACGTTCGAAGCACCAGACTTCAATGTAACCGATGCTCTCATTAGCAACGGGGTCAACGTGTCTGCAATTCCTGAATTGGCAAACTTGGTCGCCCGATCGTCCTCAAGCGGCTGCTCTATCGCAGTAAGTATGCATGGTGTGCCTCCTTTCGACATGTGCTAATTTTCTGCATAGTGTAACTCGCTCGGGCTCGTCTTCGGAAAGACTAGGGTTGCCAGGGGTCAGAATGCAGAGTACTGGTCAAACCAACAACTGGCCATGGAGCCGTACTGCACTTTCACCTCTAGGGAAGCCCTTGAGGTGTCAACACTAGTATTGATATCTCGCCTCACCCAGTGTCCGTTTGCTGTCAAAAGTGGCGGACATGCAGCTTTTCCAGGTGCTTCCAGTATTCAAGGGGGCATTACAGTTGATTTGAAAGACTTTACTACACGCAGACTTTCTGCCGATAAGAAGACTGTTGCTATCGGACCGGGTAATCGATGGATAGATGTTTACCACTATCTCACTCCATACAACTTGACTGTTGTTGGCGGCCGAGTATGTTCAGCTCGATCAATCAGCAAAGTGTACTTCTGGACATGCGCTAACATGACGTAGGCAGCACATGTCGGCGTTGGCGGTCTTACCCTCGGTGGAGGCATCAGCGACCTCACAAATGAATACGGTCTTGCTTGCGATAATGTCGCTTCTTATGAAGTCGTGACTGCGTCTGGAGTTATCGTCAATGCATCCCCAAAAGCGTTTTCGGATCTGTACTGGGCCATGCGTGGTGGCGGCAACAACTTCGGTATCGTCACCACGTTCAACTATGAAACCATCGTACAGCCTCCCATGTGGGGAGGTATGCGCATTCATGACACAAGTGCCACGCCAGCATTGATCACCGCTTTCGAGAATGCCATCAACAATGCTGAGAAAGATACAAAGCTTGCACATGTCGTTTCTTTCACGACGTACGACACCTATCAGCTCGCTTTTACCGAACTGGAATACTTCGTTCCAGTCGATCTTGCAAACCCTCCCGAAGTCGTGAAAGAGTACCTCAGCATTCCATTCATGCAAGATAACACCGGTAACAGCACGCTCGAGGATCTGACGCCTCACCGAAGTAACGATATGCCATCTGGGTTTCGCACTTCCATGTGGTCTGCATCTTTCAAGATGAGCGCCGAGCTCATCCAAAAGATGACCGACTACTTCTTCGAGATCGCACCTGCTCTCCCCGCCGTCTCCGTCAACATTGCTTTCCAGGCGTTCTCCAAGCCTGCGCTGGAAGCCATGCAGAAGAATGGCGGTAATGCCCTTGGTCTCTACCCTGAAGATGGGCCGTTTTTCCACGTCTTGGTGTACATGGCTTGGAACGAGACTAGCGACGACACAACGATGATGAAGGCTGCTGAGGACTATATTCAAGTGTCCAAGACTATGGCTAAGGAGCTTGGAGTCGATAACGATTACTACTATATGCCATACAGCAGCGGTTATCAGCCTGTCGTAGCTGGGTACGGTGCAGAGAACATGGCAAGGTTGCAAGCTATATCGAACAGGTATGACCCGACACAGGTTTTTCAGAACTTGCAACCTGGGTACTTCAAACTCCATGGAGAAGCACCGCTTGACGAGAGTGTGTAGGGGTAGCGTAATATATAGTTTGTCAACAGACCGGCCACATTGTTCGTCCAAGTTAGATCCAGTTCCTCCCACTGTGATTGGTAATGCTGACTGCGTTCACCACAGCCATCTGAGGACAGCACAAATATCGTTACGGGTGATTACAACTCATCGATGTGAAGGCTTGCATCAAAACTGTCATAATTGGAATCCAAAGCCAAGCAGCTGCATGGCGATGTATCGCGTTTTATCAAACATGCATACCAAGTCTAATATCCTGCCATACTTTCCTATGGTTCCACTGCCTCTCCACTTCTCGGAGTTTAGCTTGCAAAGCGCTCTATCCATGCCGCATCTGCCATTGCCTTCTCTCTACATCAATGGTAATCCGCCATATATGATCTAGCTCTGCCCTACGCGGATCTTGCGGTCGGAACTGTCCGAAGGCCAGCCTCTTCACAGTGAATGGGGCTGGTTGCGATTTAAGACAACATCGAACACGAACTGACCCCCTCTGCACAGTGGGTGTCGGGATTTGTGAGCGTGTTGGGCTAAATTGCGGCAGTGGCTGACTCTCCTGGTAATTACTCGAGATTTGGGCGTCGTATGAAGCTATATTCGACCCCGGATCGACCTCATTGCGCGCAAAATCTTTGTAGTCAGCATCGTGTGAGCCGTCATTCATATTCCTTGGACCAGTCGGAGCAGCGATTCTGGGCTGCTCGGGCTCTCCATTGTCTTCGTGTAACGGCGCAAGGGTCCCAGCGAGCAGAGTCGAATCACCATTGCCAACATTGAAGAGTACCTGGCGTACTTCTGTAGAAGTTCTGGTAGCATTGTCTGAGAAGTCGACGCCCGGATCTGCAACAGTCAGCCGACGTTTTTGCGAAGTACTTTGAGACTACAACGCACGTACGGCTAACATTAGATCCTCGTCCTACTGTAGATCTGCGTCCGCAGGCATCACAAACCCGGTGGCTGCGAAATCCTTCAAGGCGTATTCGGCTAGGGCGTCCAGCTGTTTACGCTGAACATGGAGTGCACCACCCTTGATGTCTTTATCGCGTTGACTCATGTTGCTAAGCAGAGAAGGCGCCTTGTTTTTAGCCGTCAAACGGTCTTCAGCACCAAAATTACCAGTAGCAGCATCACCAGGCAGTAGCTGAGAACTTGAGCCAGGGCGTGAGTTAGGAACGTCAGACTCTGGGTATCGTGGGTCTCCTTGACCTTCAGCCGAAATCTTGAAGGCTTGCTTCCTACTGGGAGCGATCCGGCCGATAAGGACGAGCAATAGTTCTGGTTGCAGTAGGCGTACTATGATGTTGCAGTCTGGGGTTTCGATAGTGAGTGTCTTCAGTGCAGGTTTCAGCGAATGATCCTGAGTAGTTCCGTTGCGGACTGAAGGCTTCTGACGCCCTTGACAGTGGTCTTTCCAAGTCATAGATATGAGCGCAGCCTGGTCGCGCAGCTCCTTAGTCTGCACTGGCTTCGAGTACGCTAATAGTGTGCCATTTGGGGACATCAAGCTATTGATGTCAGTAGGGTAACACTACATGGTACATGTGACTTACAATAGCTGGGGCCAGACATATTTGTTTGTGTTGTTAGTGAGCCAGTCGCTCACTTTGGCGATGTTGATCATCGGAAGATGTACTGACGACATGATTAGGAAAGATAATAGCGGGTGTTCAAAGCGAGGAAGGCAGAATGGAATGTGTGTGTGCAAGTCCTTGCGTGATACGTAACAATACACGAGCTTAACGCGCGACGGCAGTTGGGAGCGATATGAATGGATGGTGGTGAGGTGGAAGAGTGCCCACGTACCTGGTGTATGGTTGGCGCAACTACTTTCGTGCTGTCGTGCTGCTGCTAGGTCACCGATCTGCGCCTTCCTGGGGACTAAAGGCGGATCCAAGGTAGGGGGACGCGTCGCAACGGTAAGGAACGCGTCAGGGCACGAGGAAAGACTAATAACGTCACAGGAGAGAAGTTGCGCGTGTCAGTTTCCTGAGCATGACGATGTTCAACGACGAAGTTCACGAAGAGGGAGAGCTATGACCACCTGGGCAGAAGCCGGAGCCTTGTTTTCCGTCGCACGTGCTCTCGCGCCCAGCCATAGATTCCACGCGACATGGGGATATTGATAATCTTGCACTAAAAAGCTTGTATATTCTAAGTTGTGCCTAATACTGGGAATCGACTCTGGAAATATGTACGGTTCAATTTCCACAAGCATCTTGCTAAGAGCCATAGCAAAAACGTCCAGAGCGCTAATTTTGTAGGAAGGTGTAAACTAAAAGATAGCGAAGCCCTTGGTACCTAGCACACGCCTGACCGTTCCGCCGCCCTGAAGAGGATGCGCGCGACAAAGGTTGAATCACACCTGAAAGGTGAACTGTCGTTCATGGCCACACGAGATGCGATCATATTCCCCACCGGGCCAATGTCCGAGTAAATGCCGGACGAGGGGCAACTGGCAGCTCCTCATTGGATCGCAGACGTCATTGGTCTTCAGAAACTCTTTCCCCTCAGTTGCGCTGTGATTACTAGAACAAACGCCCGACTGATGCTATTTCAACGCTCAGCAGTAATAAGAACCTCACGAGTAGCTGTATCATCTGTATTTCGATCACTCAAGTCAAACAACACACCTAGTTTCCTCATTCGAACACTAGCAACCATGGCGACCGATCCGTCCAAGTACAAGCTTAACCACTCCATGTGAGTACCCGCATGGCATTGCCTGCACCCTCCCTATGTCATTGGCTAGCAACTCATGATTACCAGGATCCGGATCAAGGACCCCAAGCGATCAGTCCAGTTCTATGAGTTTCTGGGCATGAAGCAGATCAACCAGATCAAGAACCCTGACGCCAAGTTCGACCTTTACTTCCTCGCATACGACAGCACTAAGGCCGTCTCACACGGCAATCACTGGACCGATCGCGAGGGCATTGTGGAATTGACGCACAACTACAGCACCGAAGACGACCCAAATTACAAGATCAGCAATGGCAACACAGAGCCTCACAAGGGCTTCGGCCACCTCTGCATCTCGGTGGACAATCTACAGGCAGCATGCCAGAGGCTGGAAGATGCCGGATACAAGTTTCAAAAGAAGCTCACAGACGGTCGCATGCGCCACATTGCGTTCGTGCTCGACCCTGATGGCTACTGGGTTGAGGTGATTGGCCAGAAGCCATTGGAGGAGACGGAGAACGTCAAGGACACGGATACTGGCTCATACCGCATGGTAAGTCTTGCCCCGGTGGCTATATTGTGTCATGCTGATAACCACAGAACCACACAATGATCCGTGTCAAGGATAAAGATGCGTCGCTCAGCTTCTATCAAGACGTTATGGGAATGAAGCTCAAGCGCACTTCAGAGAGCCCAAACGCTGGCTTCAATCTATACTTCTTGGGATACGGTGCCGATGCGCCAGAGACGACTGCGAATGGCGTCAACCCTGTGTCGGACAGCGAAGGCTTACTCGAACTTACATGGAACTATGGCACTGAGAAGGATGCCGACTTCAAGTACCATAACGGCAACGATGAGCCGCAAGGATTCGGTCACATCTGCATTGCTGTCGATGACCTGGACGCCGCTTGTGCTCGTTTCGAAGAGAAGAAGGTCAACTGGAAGAAGAGGCTCACTGATGGTCGCATGAAGAACATTGCGTTTGTCCTAGGTAAGTTGTTATCTACTCGTCGTACAAAATGGCAACTGACAATGTGCATAGATCCCGATAACTACTGGATCGAGGTGGTGCAGAACGAGAAGCTCAAGACACGTAGTAATTGGTAAATGCGCGGCGCCGACTACCCGCGTGATGTGCATATCCCACTCAGCAGTAGTTCAGCCTCCAATCGTTGCAGATCACACCATACGTAGCTACCCACACTGCGCGACTTACGCACAGCATGGTACGATGACGGACGCGAATGTTTGCGGTGCTCCAACCACAATTGGATAACACAATACATACGGAGTTACATGACCATCTTTTCGATCTTTTGCCTTTCTCCAGCTCAATTTCATCGCCGATTTCAAGCTTCCAAGGGCTTCAGTCAGAAGTTCCCGAGATTGACCCTGCAGCAGCGGCGTTCACCCCGTGGGGTAAAGGAGTGCGGGGTAAATACAGCCAACAGGTAAGGCTACCACAAAGAGATTATCTGACGCAAGCTACTGCAGAAGACCGATAGCGGCGCAAGTGTCCTCTTCGATGTACAAAATGGAGTGTATTCCTCCTGTGTGATCTGGCATCTGTGTCTCATACTGTCTTCTCATAGAAGTATAGAGCATTGCCTTGCAGTATTACATTAAAACTACAGTAATCGAATACTATTACTTGCCTTCACTAAGACCCTTTGTGGGCCTCGTCACTCTATTCTAGCTAGTTTTTGAGAACAAGCGCAGCCGCTCTTCGACATGGCTATCCTCATGCATACAACGAAGCGAAAGATCTTGATACCCGAGAAAGTGTCGCCAGATGGCTTAGCATTATTGAAAGACCAATTTGACGTGGATGAAAAGAAGGGACTGACCCCAGAAGAGCTCAAGAAGATCATCGGCGAATATGATGCTCTCATCGTGCGTTCTGAGACGAAAGTAACAGCAGAGCTTTTAGAAGCTGCGAAGAAGATGAAAGTTGTCGCACGTGCCGGTGTGGGTGTTGACAACGTCGATGTCCAAAGCGCCACTTCACATGGTATCATTGTAGTGAACTCACCTTCTGGGAACATCAATGCCGCGGCGGAACACACTATCGCGCGTGGGTATTCCAAGCTACGCCAATATTATATCAGCTAACGTGATATAGTATTGATGGCTGTAGCTCGCAACGTTGGAGATGCTTCACAAAGTATCAAGGCTGGGAAGTGGGAACGAAGCCGACTAGTTGGTGTAGAGGCGAAAGGAAAGACTCTCGCTATTGTCGGTCTGGGAAAGGGTCAGTTCAATTCATTACTTCGTAAGCATCTGACTAATGGGTTTTCAGTTGGACTCACGGTCGCTCGCATCGCGAATGGCCTAGGCATGCGTCTCATTGCGTACGATCCTTATGCAAACCCAAACCTAGCAGCAGCAGCCTCGGTCATACTCCGTCCAAGTCTCGCTGAGATTTTGGAAGAAGCTGACTTTCTGACACTCCACACTCCTCTGATTGCGTCAACCAAAGGCATGATCAGTAAAGCAGAACTAGAGACGATGAAGCCAACTGCCAGAATTCTTAACGTAGCGCGAGGTGGTATGATCGACGAAGATGCCTTGGTTGAAGCTTTGGACGCTGGCGTCATCGCCGGAGCGTAAGTGTCTCTGTACAAACTTCATGCAATACATACACTGACTTCGTACACCTACGTTCAGAGGGATTGACGTGTTCACCTCGGAACCACCAGAGCAAAATTCGTCAGCTACACGTTTGATTGCCCATCCAAAGGTGGTAGCAACACCGCATCTTGGTGCATCCACCAAAGAAGCTCAAGAAAACGTCTCGATCGATGTCTGTGAGCAAGTCGTCTCCATCCTCAGCGGTGAGCTACCACGCTCAGCTGTCAACGCACCAATCGTCCTACCTGACGAATACCGAACCCTTCAACCTTTCATCAGCCTAGTCGAAAAGATGGGTAGCCTCTATACCCAGCACTACTCCTCGGCGAAGACAGGTTCCTTCCGCACAACATTTGACCTCATCTATGAAGGCAAGCTTGCCACGATCAACACAACAAAGCCCCTCTTCGCCGCCTTAGTAAAAGGCCTTCTTACCCCCATAACCTCAAGCGATGGTCTGAACATCAACATTGTCAACGCCGAGCTACTTGCCAAAGAACGTGGTATCCTCATCAACGAACAACGTTCGCGCGAAAACGTAGAAGACAAACCCTACTCTTCCTTCATCACCCTACGTGCCCGCGCGTCTCGCTCTGTGAGTCAACAACCCCGCTCGAGGAATGTTTCGCCATCCGCCGCACGCAGCCTTCAACAAGGTACGAACGACAATGATGATCAAATCATCCAAGGATTCGTCTCTGGAAACAAACCCTTCATTTCCCGCCTTGACAAGTTCAAAGGCGAATTCGTACCTCGTGGAACACTACTCATATGCCGAAACTTCGACTCGGTAGGTAAGATCGGATATGTAGGCAACCTTCTGGGTAAAGCAGGTGTTAATATCAAGTTTATGAATGTCGCGCCGCTAGATGAGGAGGTAGAGGAAAGAATGAATGAGCAAAACGGTGAAGGAGAGGGGAGTAAGGAAGCGCTGATGATTCTGGGTGTGGATAAGCCCGTTGGGGAGGATGTGTTGAAGAGGTTGATTGCAGATGAGGGGGTATTGGAGGCTAGCGTGGTGAACTTTTGATGACATTGTTGTTAGTTGGAGAAGAGAGCGTTCGGGCCGATGATGATGATGGTGCGGTAGCAGCGTTCAACATGCTAGTACTGCTCTTGCTCAACTCTTGCAGTTCATCCCATTTCATACATTAGGCGCTTGAATCTGACGTGATATATACAACAAACAACTTCGCATACTCCATAAGATCTTCCGGCCATCTCAACAATAGCTTATATACCCATACAAGTCGTAAAATTATCCCTAATCATCCTTTCTTGAAAAGGTTTTACATCTGACCCTTCTCGCCCTTCTCCTTGCCCTCCTTCTGCAACTCCTTCATATGCGCGTCGTGGTCGTTGACTTGTTGCTTGTCCGCAGCAATGTTGCTCTCGCCATGACTGGCAAGGTCCTCGCGCCATCTGCCCTCGCCCTTTTCTTGCTCCCTGAGCTGTTCTTGCTTTGCGGCCTCGACCTGTTCGGGGCTTCGGTCTGCGTCCTCTTTGATGCGTAGGGTGGGACTGCTGAGGAATGTGCGGCGAGCGGTGAAGGCGACGCGCGTGCTTGGGATGGGAGCGCGCAGAGAGCGGGCTGCTGTGAGGAGAGTGCGTGGTGCCATTGTGAAGTATTTGAGGCGGAGGACAATATTGTGAGGTTTGTAGTTGAGTTTGAGGAAAAGTGAGGATTGGTGGTAAGGTGGAAGAGAAGTGAAGATGTTTTGTTGCGAAAGACGGATCTCGTTGCCGTGTTCTGGTGGGCACCTGCATCGTCATATGCTGTGACGTCATTGCATGGGTTCAAGACAGAGGTTGCTCCACGCAAATGCCCAATGCGGTGAAGCTGCAGATACGCGTCATTTGTCGCTTCGAAATTGAGATTTTCCAATTGGTTTGGTATATACAGTTGTCAGCCTGGAGAAGCTGTTCCCAATGCAATCATGCTGTCATGTGATGCTCCATATGCGCCCTGACTACCTTCAACGGCTCTCTTCTACTACTGCCTGTGATATGCATTCATTACGGAGGCTCCTCCTCCTGAGATTTATACATCTATCCTGTGCTGTTCTTGGGCGCGCTGCCTCCGCCACTGCTCTTCTTGTCTGGTGCTCCTCCATTTCCACCAACATCGGGGCTGTTAGGTTCGCTGACATCCTTGTTTCCGGGGCTAACGTTCAAGCTGTTCTGAGAGCCACCAGCCTCGCGCTCTGCTGTTGCCTCTGCCTCCTCGGGACTTGTCTTGTTAGGGTTGAAGGCAGCGTCTGAGTGTGCGGCGCCGTCGTCAGAGCCAGACTTTGCGTATTCGGTCGATCGAGGCTTCAGCGAATCTTTGTCTTGTGCATCTTTTTGAGCGAAGCGTGCTGGTGTTGTGCTGAAGAAACGAGGGCGGATGACGGCAGGGCGGGCAAAGGTTGCGCGTTGTACTGCGCGTGCGGGCTGGATGCGGAACATGGTGATTGTAGCGGGGGAATAGGTCGTGGATTTTGGGAATGCCGAAAAGCTGAGTCGTGATGCAAAAAGGTTGAAGGTTGAGTAATTGCGGGGAGAGCAGCAATTGATGTGTTTTGGAATCGCGGTGACGAGTTGATGTGGTAGCTCGAAGCTTGTCAACGGATCCTCAGTCTGACGTCAATTCGACCAGGTGCAGCCGAGGCCACTGTTCACGTGATGCACAGCACAACCAACATCCGCACTGTCCTTGTCGAGTGCTCTTACTCTCCATTTTCCCTCAACCGACGCATCATATTTCTCAAATGTATTGATATGTTGTTTTGGAGTGGCTTGACGCACGTGTTCGGATCGGGGAGCCGCGCCCATCTCCGATTTCCGCCATTCTCCCCACATCTGGAGTTCACAGTCTTATCTGGATTAAGCTTCCGTGGTGAATAGGCAATCATCCAGTCAAACACCATATGATGAATCTCATTGCTCGATTATTCTCATTTCAGAAGGTACACGATTATGCTGGCAGCACTAGTTGAGTCATAAAGTATGGCTTCCCAGGTAGCAATTGTCACGGTGTTTTCGGTGTTTTCTTACATATAGGGCGTACCGTCGGCTTACCAAGTTTCGCATCTAGGTCTCCTCCAGGCCTGCCAACTCCTAACTCATAGTCACTTTCCATATATACACCTGCTGCATCGAGCATAGATTGTAAGGTCTAGATCTGTTCTCGTAAATCGGTAACCTACGAACAGGTCTTTCATGCATGGGTCCAGACAAGCTTAGCTCGGATGATATGAAAGTAATGTAAAGGGTTCGTATGCCTTTCATCCTACAGTGAGCCTGTGCCTAAGGCCGCTATTTGTTACCATCTTTCATCACAATACACGCACGGGACGCTATCTCCCATATCTCATAAAAAGAAATCCTCTTACGGCCTAAAGCTCTACATATCCGACACCTGAATCTACTTCGAAATATTCCATATACACCACACTCGAAGTTGAACCATGGCTATCTCGACATGGATTCCACCGTCGCCACCAGACCCCAATACCTTGAAGAACCCACCGCCATTCGCTCCTTTCCCGCTCATCCAACTACGGTCTGGCAAGGTCAAGAAGGCACTTGGAAACGGAAAGATTGAGACGGCTATCCACAAGGCTCCATTGACTGGTCCTGTCGAAATCAGCGAGACGGGTATCCCTAGCGATGAGCATTCGTTCCATTTGCATGGCGGCCCAGACAAGGCGCTCCTTCACTACTGCACGGCACATTATGATGAATGGAAGAAGCAACTACCAGCCTCAGAGCACCACTTCAAGCCTGGTGCTTTTGGCGAAAACTTATCCAACAGAGAAGTCAGCGAGATGAACTTGTGCATTGGGGATTGGTTGGCCATTGGCGAGATCATTGTCGAAGTCAGCGAGCCACGAGCGCCTTGCTACAAGCTCAACCATCGTTTCGAGGTCAAAGATATGGCGAAACGTGCGCAGACGCTGCTACGTACCGGCTGGTTGTATCGCGTTATCAAACCAGGTACCGTCATCGCTGGCGATATGATCACCTTACTTGAGCGACCACACCCGGAGTGGACGGTTGCTAGGGTGATGTACTACCTGTTTAACGAGACCAATAATGTAGAGATGATGAAGGAAATTGTTGCTCTGCCGCAACTTGGCTGGGAGATCAAGGGCAAATTCCAAAAACGCCTAGATCAGGGTGTCGTCGAGGATCATAGCGGTAGGTTATTCGGTAGCGATGAAGAGAAGATGGATGCTTGGCAAGAATACCGTCTGGTTGAGAAGCGGAGGGAGACGAGTAGTGTCACAGCCTTTGTCTTCGACTCCATCGAAGATATCCTAGCGCCACCGCCTGTCGAGCCCGGAAGCCATGTGATCTTGAAGCTTGGAGGAAATCTAGTACGCGCTTATTCCGTCACTGGCGGGAACGCAAAGCGCTTTGAGATTGGCGTTGCTTTAGATACAACCAGCCGAGGTGGCTCCAAGTATCTCCACGAGCAGACCAAAGTTGGAGATGTACTTACGGCCAGTCGCATCAGAGCAAGCTTCCCTCTCGCCAAAGACGCAGACCGGCACATCATCATCGCAGGCGGTATCGGCATCACAGCTTTCATGGTGGCATTCCCATACCTTCAGGAGTCAAAACAAGACTTCCACCTCCACTACGCTGTCGCAGAAGAAGTGCCCTTTCCCTCCAGAATCTCCGCTCTCGGATCCAAAGCAACAATCTACAACAAATCCAAAGGCCAGCGTCTAGATATCTCCGCTATACTCGCAAAGGCCGACCATCAGACACACATCTACACGTGTGGTCCCACACGCCTTTCGGATGCTGTTATTGCGACAGCAAAATCCTACGGTATCCCAGAGTCGTCTGTACACGTCGAAGCCTTTACCGTAGCTACGTCGGGTGATCCGTTCACAGCAGAGCTCAAACAGAGTGGGAAAACTGTGGAGGTAGGGGCTACGGAGTCGCTGCTTGACGCACTCAAGGCTGTGGGTATGGATATCGATAGCTCGTGTGAGGTGGGCAATTGTGGGACGTGTAGGGTAGACGTTTGCGGTGGCAGGGTGGAACACCAGGGAACCGGATTATTGGACGAGGAGAAAGCGGATAGTATGCTGAGTTGTGTTAGCCGGGGTGTGGGCAAAATTGTGTTGGATTTATAGGATGTACAGCGCTTACGAGTGGGCATTTCCAGTATCTTGGTGCATGAACGAAAGCGACCAATCAATGATCCACGAAAATGTGATATAGCATGTTTGAACATAATAAGATTGGTATTTGACAAAAGAAAATGCTATGCTTATAACGCCATAAACTCCAAGCCTGATGCCGATGCAGGTAAACTTTCAATCATCCCACCGCATGTTCAATATCAGATCCTCGACTTCCTTACTGCTCGGTCCCTTCCTCTTCTCCTGCCTTGGCACTTCCATTAGGAAGAGTCACATGTTTCCGTTGAACCACCAGGCGGCTGCGACTGGCCATCCAAGGATACCTGCATAGAAGGGGAAGAAGCTGTACAACAATTAGTACGAGTTCGAAAGGGAAAGGTAGATGAGGAGACTTACACAGTGCTTGTCTTCACGACTTTCTTGGAGAGGTCGGCGGCGCGCCAGGCGTGAGGGGTCATGGTGATGGGGTTGCGAGCGAAGGGGTGGGGCTCTACCATGCCGCGGGCGACGCTACGCCACATGAGACGGGCCTGGGTTACTGAAGGCATTGTTGTGGTGGTTTGGTTGAAGTGTTGGTTGGTTTGGAGTGTTGGGATGGGTGTATTGGTATCGCTAGGATGAACTCAAATATAGAATGCTCTTGTTGTGTAATTGATTGAGCAGAGAAGATGGATCTCTATGCTTTTGGTTCGATGTGAAGATGTGTGGAGTGTATTGTTGGTTGCTGTTGTTGTGATGAACTGAATGTTGGATGGCTACTACAACATGAAGAACACATTCTATTTATCAAACCTACAATACTAACTTACAGACACTATGCTTCATCACAGAACCCGCGATCGCACCACCAGAACATCGCGTGAGATGTGCATCCTCCGCATCATCCTCACAGCCTTACACCGCAACCCGAACGGCTGGCCTGACAGACCAGACCGGGCAAGTCAGGAACATGGAAAACAACGATGACCAAGATGCAGGCAAGACTGAAAGAACCGCTTTTGGAAACGAAAATAAGCACTGTAGAAAACAGTCGCTTGTTTCCGGGACCTGCTATTGGTTCTGGACTGGCTGAGGAGTTGGCTGTGTTGATGGTCGCGAGAGAGTGGTGTGATGTTTGGCGGATTCTTCAGGGTCGGCAGCCGCCGACGGCATGACTCAGGGCAGCTACGGCGCAGAGGTGATACCACGATGGTGTGACAAGTTGACGCGAGGTCGAGGTCTTTGCAAACAGAGATGATCCGCACCCGGCTTATTGCGGAACAATAGAAAGAAGTTGTACTCGTGTATTTAGTGTGTTAATGTACCTCTCGCGCGCGCGCTGGTGTTGATACCAGGTCCACTGTGCATCTCCTAGCCTGCGTTCCTGCAGACCAAGATGTCCCGGACACCTACTTCACATTTGCGAACCACACTGTCCTAAGACTTTTCATACTGCGATACCAGACGCTCAACATGTGAAATCCCATCAGTTGGGTGATGCTTCTCGAACGCGCCACGGTGCTGTTCTGATGACGCACCTCGGCTTATCGTTGCTATCGCTCATCAGGGTCCCGGACAAAATTATACGCATACGGCCGCAACTAAACTTTACGTGCGATCATTGCCCGTAGATCACAACTAATAAGACCAGACTCACAACTCACACTGAAAGACTCATCCACTGACCATCAACTTCGCAACTCAAAAGTACAGCAGATAAAATGACAGCCGCAGTACTAGCAGGTAGCACAGGCCTAGTCGTACGTCGAGCACTCTCACAATGACCTAACACAGCAAGAAATGCTCACAAGGACATCTAGGGCGCAAACATCCTCTCCCAACTCCTCGCACACCCCGCCTTCTCCGCCGTACACGCGTATGCGCGCCGCGACCTCCCGAACCCTGCAGGCTCCACCAAACTTCAGCCCATCATCGCGACCGACTCCTCACAATGGCCTAGCCAGTTCCCATCTTCGCAGAAACCCAAGGTCTTCTTCAGCGGTCTGGGTACGACACGTGCACAAGTCGGCAGCGTCGAAGCCCAGCGCAAGATTGACCACGACCTGAACCTTGACCTTGCCAAATCCGCCAAAGAAGCCGGTGTGGAGACATACGTCCTCATCTCGTCCAACGGCGCAAGCCACACCTCATATTTTGCTTACCCCAAGATGAAGGGCGAGTTGGAGGAAGCCGTGAAGGGTCTGGGGTTCAAGCACACGGTCATAGTGCGCCCGGGTCTGATCGTTGGAGATAGGAGCGAATCACGACCAGCTGAGGCTGCGCTGAGGGGTCTTGCAAGGGGTTTGAAGGGCTTGACACCTAAGATGACGGACTGGTGGGCTCAAGACGCCAGTACGATCGCGAGGGCTACCGTCAATGCCGGAGTGCAGTGTATGGATGGGAAGAAGGAGGACGGTGTCTGGCTTGTAGAAATGAAGGACATCGTTGCGTTAGGCAAGGAGTAGGAGTACGGACTGATCATGGGGCACGAGGTTGCCCGTACACGATACCCTTTTCACAGTTTTCTCTTAGTGGCCGACTGGCACTTATCTGAAGTTGAACCTCCTCTCAAGGTTCGCGCGTTGTTCATGGCTGCGTTATCACGGCAGACAGACTTTGCGAGAGCGTCAGATCCTCTTAGTACGAATCAAGGTGCAGCTAAAACAAGCAACTCATCATCATGTTGTCATACTGTTTACTTTTTACATACACTCGCTCCGGCTTAATCCTCGTATCACACAGTGATGTGCACAAAAGCAAAGCAAAGCAAGGCTGTGATCGGAGATAATTTCCATATTCAGTGAGAAGAACAAGGGCGATCTTCTGCCGCTCCAATGCACCTTGGACCCTTTCCAGCACGTGCTAGACTCGCTATGGAAGGGTCGCGGCTACCTCACGGCTTTCCCCGCCTTCCTAAAGGTACCTCCGAAACATGACTTAGCACCAATCAAAATGGACAAAGGAGACCGCGCCGCACTATCGTGCTGCACCACTGACTACCCCTGTATCCCTTCCTCGTTTACGTCGCTCAAATTCCGTCTTTCACTTCCCGTGTTGGACGACCCGGGCTTATATAGACGACATGCCACCGAAGTCCCAACGAAGTAGAGCTTGTGCTCAATGCCGATCTAGACGCGTCAAGGTGTGTTCCTTCAACAACTCATCAAGTTGAGCACTTATCCGTCCCGCAGTGCGACGAAACACCAGAGACATGCAACCAATGTCGTCGTTTGGGCCTCACGTGCTCTGGGGCCCTTCAGGGCTCCATTGTTATCGACATGACAGAGCGGATAACCAAGCCAAGAGGAAGAAAGAAGAAAGAGACGGCAAGAGCTACAATGGTGATTCGTGGGAACGAGGATGATCAGCCATCAGCAGCCCCGCGTCCTATCCTTCCTCAAGGCAAAGTCGCAATCAAGTCAAGCCAGCCGTCATCACCGTCATCAAACTCAACACCACCTTCCGCAACCAGGGATACTGATAGAGTGGAGCAAGCCATAGTAGCCATCCGCTACCAGTACAGGCCTCCCATAATGAATCAGCCCTCAAGAGTTTTGCCGGAAGCTCTAGATACCGCTTTCCTTTCTCACTACGTTGAGATGAACAAGGGTGGAAGTCAGTACGCGCCTGAAATCCAATGGCTCGGCCATATACACCAGATTCACACCAACGCCAGAAAGCCTGCGGTCCGGTTGTCTCTCCGGGCAGTCTCAATGGCATACTTCGGAAAACATCATCACGATCCGAGCATTCTCGTTGACTCCTGGAGGTGGTAAGAGCTATCCTTGTATGAATTTCATGTGAGACACATACTGATTTTGTACGCGCGTGTTCTAGGTATACTGTAGCTCTGAGCGCCCAGAGAACATCTATAGCAAGACTGAAGAAGGACGCTATTCCTGACGAAGAAGAGGTTTTGGTACCTCTCATCATGTCCTTGTACGAACTATATGTAGGCGCGACTGCATCTGGCGCCATGACTCATATCGCGGCTGCGGCCCAGATAATGAATATGCGCGGGCCGAGCAACTGTGGGTCAGGTGTCATCTGGCCACTGTTCAAGGGCGTGCGCAGCTCTGATGTGAGCTTGCAAGAATCAGTATGATGATTTCCTTTACGCTAACGAGATCAGGCGCATAAATGTGTAGTCTTCAACAGGACGTCGGTCTACTCCTCGCCAGATTGGATGACACTACCTTTCATTGACAAGCCACGAGATGCGCACCAAAGTCTTGCAGATATCGAGCTTCAGATTCCTCCTTGTATGGCCACTTTCGAGATACCCGGCTCAATGCGTGTGCTTTTCTCAACCCCTATACCGTCACATGTTGACGTCCGCCCTGCCAAACAAATGGCATGCAAGCTTTTGAGAGACCTCGACCAATGGGCTTTAGCATATCCTCACCTAGCCAGCATCTCCGGAAGCCCACGTGGAACACCTGCACCCATGGAGAAGGGTACGTCGAAAACAACCAGTCCAGGATCATCTACTTCAAAGTCGTCTAATGCTTTCGTAGCACTGATTGCATCGAATTACATCGCCGACCGCCTCGTCGTCAACATGCTCATGTACAAGATGCACACTGAATCAACCGCGCCGCTGGAGCATTATGAAAATACGACTGCGCATTATTACGACGAAGCCACCAAAGCGGCTACATCTATCCTAGAGGCTGCAATGGAGATCGAACGGGCGCAAACTCCGGGCTTCGACATGTTGCGCAGTATCGCGCCGGTCATGGCAGTCGCTTTCTCTGCCCCAACTTTGGAGCTCAGAAAAGACGCGGTAGAAATGATGACAAGATGGGCAGGCAAGATTGGCGGGCTTGGTTCGGTAATCAGCGCGATCTAATGTCAGTCTGCATCTTCGTCAAATGAATGTGCCGACCCAGCCGCCATCTCTGCGATTTGCATGCTCGGCGTAAGAGCTTTACGATCATGGCGCGTTGCTCCGATACGGGATTCCTCAAATCGCCGCCTATGGTTGTTCGCCGGACTCCCAATCGATGCATGTCCGCCTTCGGCTGCTTCTTTCTCAAGACTTCCGCTAAATGCAGCCTCTTTGTTGTGGCATTGTCGTCTTTGTCCAACATACCCAGACACCAGCTTTATTGTCCTCTCAGGACTAGAGGACTATCTTGGACCCCACCAGCTACCATAATTCTTAACACCAGATGTTCTTGGTACGCACCGTCGCCAGCCTAAATATGGTTCTATCAAGCACCACATGATTCTAAAGACAACCGATAAATATCCTTCAGCAAAAATAGAGCTAAGAACATCGGAAGAGATCTTACAGGCCATGCTGGAAAGCCCATATTCCCGGAGGGCTCCCCGCAGGTCACCAGAATTTCCATTAATCGCATCCGTGCGCGAAGCAGAGATCAGAAAGCTTCTCGCTGAGCACAATGCAGGAGAAGCAAGTCGTAAAAAGCGTACGAAGTCGCCACGAAGACAAAGATGTCTATCTTTAGGCTCAACGGGATGTCTTCCAGGCCTGTCACCGCCATCTTCCCGATCAAGACCACCGCTAGCAAAGAAACCACGCCCATCATCATTACCCCATACTCCTCCGCCCTCAGTACCTCAAATTTTTCTGCCACCGACACCTCAAGCCTGCTCTCCGACAAGGCAAGATTGGATGCAGTCTTCACCTGATGCATCGTCATGCAGCTTATCTGAGACTTATGCATCACAGCATCGACCGCATCAAAAAGAGCCTAATCGCGATTCCGTCCATGATGTTTTTGAACAGAGTATTATATGGCCCTCGCCTCCTCCTCGACCATCTGGCATACCGACCACTGATGAACTGAGGCTTATAGAAGGCGAGATAGAGCTTTACATGATTAGGGAGGCCTATGAGAAGTCTGTTGGACGAAAACTGGTAAACAGATACAAGATGAGGTTGCTAAAGCATGAGTATGATACCATCATAGCTAAGCATGGTATCGAGTATCGGCGAAGGGAGTCTGAGAGAAGAAGAAGAGCGGGATGATGTTGCCGAGCCAATGTGTGCGCATTTGGCGTTTCAAGTAGCGGTCCGTCCGGTCGACTAGCTACAACAGTAATGAACGAAATTTTGCTTGAAACAAATATGCTTTGGACGTTGGGTGTCTGTCTTGAAATGCTCTTAGCTAGCTGATGCTGTGAAAGTAATCTTAATGTCTTATATATTTCTTGGTGCTGCGAACTATAAGGGTACGGTTACAGCAAAGCCATGGGTATCCAAAATGTCGAATATACGATTGCGCGAGCAAACAACACTCTATCAATACATCTCACAATCCTTTCGAATTGCATTACACTGGCAGTGGCTTTGGAACACCCCTCTTAACACCAGGCTCACCCAGCCCAGGGATAACCAAAGGCGCTTTCCTCTCCATAGGTGTCCTGCCAATAGGGAAGAACTTAGTGATCGTGTGATCGGGACCATATGCCTCCTCAACAAGATAAACCGTCACTCTCCACCAGGCGCAAAGCGCGCTCAACATCCAGAAGTAGCTGGCAGCTTTCATGCCCATGGTAACTCCGCCAGTAAGACTGTCGCCCGATGCACTCGTATTCGCTGTCGAAGAAGGGCGACCGTTGTATGCGAACATGCAGCAAGCGATTGTACTTCCGATGGCCAGAGAGAAGAGACAAACGCTAAGAACAACATCTCTTGCTGTAGCAGCGAGCGCGCCCGACCATGTGAAAACACAGAGTATCACGAACCAAGATGCGAGTTCAGGAAAATGCGTATGCACTTCGTGTGCTTCCAGAGCACCGGCCGCCTATCATTTCTTGTCAGCTCTCTTCTCGTAATTCAGATCTTACTCAAGAACGGCAACACTTACGACAAAAGCATATAGAATCCCGATACTAATCCAGAAACTTCCCCACATGGTGTTGATTACCGTCACCAATGTATCTCTTGCTTTGAATCCATACAGCCCCGCGATGAATTGCGCTAGTCCGCCGAACAGACCTACGAATGGGAAGAAAATAGTCGGTGATTCAGGTCCGCCCCACCAGTTGGCGATGTAGGATGAGGTTATCCATGTTGAGCCAGCGAAACCAGCGAGACCTAGAGCAGCTGGGGGTGCGATGGGCTGGAGGAAAATCTGGATGCCAGGGGTTTGTTGGAGTGTTTTGTCAAGTTTTTCAGATTGATGACGGACGTCTAACGCCATACTTGGGAAGTTATCTTGGTCGAAGGGGTATCGAGTTGAAGGGCTGATTCGATGGACTTTGACAGGATCGAGACGCGCAGGGCTTCCTTGCTAGGGGATGAATTGTGTTTCTGGGGTAAACCAGGATGTAAAGTGCTGGAAAAGTGCGACAAGCAGTCAAATAACTGTTTCATGCATCTAAACCCAGCTACATCATTGCTGTGATGCAATCGTACATTTGATAGACTGAAGTTTGCGAAATTCCGCTATTACAGAGGTATGACGATAAGCGCGACGCGGTTGCGCGCTCTGTGTGCTGATCGCGAACATCGTGACTTACCCACTCGGAACCTCTCATCCGCGTGGACATCTGACATCATCGCACTACTGAAAGCCTCTGCTCATTTGCTGAATATATGTAACAAAGGGTCTATGAGACTCCACAATGCCCCATGGAGATCATAGGCGGTGCGAAGATCACGATCGGCTGCGGTCTCCACCAGATTCGGTAGTTCGCATCGATGTGCATCGGTAATGCTTGGAATGCTTATCTCGATGTCGCATATGCTTTGTCGATTCAGCTCGCGGATAGGAGAAAACAAGATAAAGACTATGTCATTGTGTATCTAGCAAGGCCAGAGGGAACACAAACCTTTTCCACGCAACTATTCAAACACCAACAAAGAATTGTCCTGGAGTGCTCTCTTGAGGAAAATGGTCCTCATCATCTTACGGGCGAGTGTTCCAAAGGTAATGGCATGTTCTGCGGAATGGCACCAATCGGTTGCACATCTCGAATATCCTCAGCTTCAGCTCCAGCTTCAAGAGTATCCAATCGCTCAGGTCGTGCTACCGTCACCATCGTCGCTCATGCTCTCAGCGTTCTCTTCATCACTCGAACGGCCACCATCGGTGATGGTCCTCGGTTCGTCATCGCTCTTTGCATCCTCTTTATCTGTGTCTCCTTTTTGGTCATCTGGAATTCACTCGTACGTGGTTCTCTCCGTCGACGACGCTGTCGACAAAAGCTTGAAACAGGTGTTTTCGAGCTGTGAGGTCCTTTGAGATTTCGGAATGGCGGGGAGGTATGTGTAATGAAAAGATGAATGACTTCGTTGATCGCTCCAACGACATAAAGTAATGTCATGTAGAACCCAGACTCATTCAGAGAAGGAGGCGGTATGGCTCGCAGCGTTGATGAGAGTAATGACACTTGCCGCTACGCCTTTGGCTTCCGTTACTATCAATAGAGGGTAAAGAGCCTGATCGTCAGATGTTCGTGATCTTCTTGTGAGGTAAATAGACAAGATTTATTGAAATGGTCGGGTGCCGCAATGGAGACAAAATGCCGTGGTTTGCAGCGTGCATAACCAACAGGGCGATCCAATGTTGAGTACGAGACGGTACATGTACACGAGCTGTACATAAGCGCTCTCAACGGACATGGTCACAACAACAAGTTGCACCGCTGTGTGGCTAGAGTCTGCCACTGGATTTCTCTGCATGTACCCGCTTGTACATCTTGTCATTCAAGCTCAGCCTTGCGTAACGTCACTCTGAGTCGCGAGGCATGCGACGATCAGATACGTACACAGAGTCAGGCTAACAGTCGGTTTTTGCATAATAGACATTGCGCGATGGGGCATAGGGCCAGAGTTGTGGGTTGGATTCTCAACTTCGGAAGGAGACAGTGTTGGTGATCAGATCTCCGAGAGCCGTGATTTCCCCGCAGTCACGTTTCCTATGTCTTGGCGTCTCAAGCACGCAATTCGCGCTAGGGCCAAATTCTCGTCGCGTCAAGGCGACATTCCGCGCATTTGCAATCTATCGCCCGAAAGACGTGCTAGAGCAAGCACAAAGAGCCAATCATGGTCTGTCTGATGGATTGCGTCTTGCTCGGTCGGTCTTCTGCCGATGTCGCTACTGGACGACGGCACTTTTTGGCTGCTACGAGGCGACAAATCCACGACGCGGATATACTCCCTCGCTGAAGCCTCCGTGGGATCGTAGTAACTCTCACTTTCTCTCTTACACCAAAGAGAGACTCTCATTGCCTCGACTGAAAGGCTGAGTTGCTGAGGCGCATACCTGCATTCAAGATGCATTTCCAGCAGACAGAATCCGCTGGCCCTGGTGCTGAGCAGAACGCACCCAAGGACTTCACCAAGAAGTCGTCCAGTCTGCCGTTTGGTCAGGATCTCTCCTACCAATCGATCGGTGGCCCAACCTACCTTACCGCCCAGACTCTCGTCCAACAAGTCGCATACGCTCTCTCCGACAAGATCTTCGCATACTCGGCTGAATCTTTCGATCTGGATGTGGCAGTCAAGTACTGGCAAGAACAGGGCGAGAAGAATGCTCTCGGTTACCAGACTGGCGTCTCCTCTCTGGAGACGAGGACCGGTGCTGGTGCCATTGCATTGGGATACATGTTCTCAAAGGACTTTGACTTGAAGAAGCGCCACATCCCTCAGTCCATCGTCGCTTCCTCTTCCACCTTGAACTATCTCCGCGCTTCGCTCGACCAACTGTCCGCCCTCTACTCGGTCGCGAACCCATTGACCGCCCACATTGCCGCTGTCGACTACTCTGCCAACTCCAGCGCTGGCCTAGTCACCGACTATGTCTCTTCGCTCACACTCGCCGAGGATCTTGGTCTTGGTCTCGTCTGCAGCCCGTCTGTCTTCGAGACTCAGCACATGTCCCTCTTCGCTACCCTCCTATCGAGTGTCCTCCCCACGATCCACACATACGATGGCATTAGCGTTGGAAGGGAGACCGCCAGGCTGGTCGATACCCTTGACCAGACCAGGCTACACAACAGCTACGAGGCAGTGCTCAAGGCCGTCTCTGAGGTCGACAAGAAGCACTCTGACACTGCCGGACGTGTTCTGCGCCTTCTCCAGGCCTTCAACGACGAGCTCGGTGAGGACTACAAGCTCTTCGATTACTACGGCCACCAAGAGGCAGAGAGCGTCCTTGTCGTCTTTGGTACTGTAGAGGCTTCGTTGACTGCTCAGGTCGCCAACGCCCTTTCCAAGGACGGTGACAAGGTCGGTGTTGTCAACGTTCGTGTCTACCGCCCATTCGTGGAGGAGGCTTTCCTTGAGGCGCTCCCAAAGAGCACTCGTCGCATCGCCGTTCTTGGTCAGGTCAAGGACGAGGCTGCTGTGCTCGACCCCGCGGAATACTCTAGACTCTACTCCGATGTCTTGGCTTCTGTTCAGTTCGCCTACGACAGGGACGTTGAAGTCACCGATGTCAAGTACTCGCGTGAGCAGGTCTGGACGCCCAGCAACTTCCTCGATGCCTTCCGCCAGATCCACGCCGAGAAGGAGGGAGCCGAGGTTCGCTCTTACGTTGACATCTTGAACACCGCCGACGTCAAGCAGTACAGCTTCTGGAACCTTGACGAATCATCAGCCGCCAACGCACCTGTTGTAGTAGGCAAGCTCCTCTCAAGCGACTCTTCAAAGAACGTTTTCGTTCGCAGCGGCCACGACAACCTCGTGCAGGGCGGTGTCACTCGCACTGACATTCGCAATGCTGACTACACTATCGAGGCGCCCTACGCTGTTGAGCAAGCCGATGTTGCATTCATTGGTGACATTGCTATCCTCAAGGAATTCGACATCTTGAACAGCGTCAAGCCTGACAGCTCCATCATTGTGAAGCTTCCCGGTGTGAAGAACGAGGACGTTGAGAAGAAGTTGTCACCTGCCTTCCGCAAGGCTCTTGTAGACAAGGACGTTCAGCTTTTCGTTCTTGATCCTCTTCTATCTGAAGCTGTTGCTGAAGACGAGTCTCTAGAGTCTTTCCTCACTCAGCTGGCATTCTTGAAGGTCGCTCGTGAAGATCTTCTGACTTCTGGCTTAAGCAAGCTTGCCGCCATCAACGGCAGCTCCGATGTCTTTGAAAAACTCGCCCAGCAGCTCGAAAGCGCTCTCCGTGAGGTCGAGGTTCCTGCCGCTTGGGGTACCGTCGAGGAGGACGTTGAGCCAATCCGCCTTCCTTCAGACATCAACGTCAACAGCTTTGCTCCCCTCGACCGTATCGAGACAGAGCCCCCGACCCTGCTCAAAGATTGGCAGATCGCAGCCAAGGGCTTCGCTTTCAAGGAAGCCTTCGGCACCGCTAACCAGGTCCGACCCGATCTTGGCGTCAAGACCAGTATCGTTCATGTTAAGGAGCGTCGTCGTCTCACGCCAAAGAACTACGACCGTAACATCTTCCACATCGAGTTTGATCTCGGTGATTCTGGTGTTACTTACGCTATTGGTGAGGCTCTTGGTATCCACGCAGAGAACGACGAGAAGCAGGTCGACGAGTTCATCAAGTGGTACGGTCTCAACCCTGATGAGATCGTTGAGGTACCATCCCGTGAAGACCCCAACGTCCTTGTCAACCGAACTGTCTACCAATCTCTGCTACAAAATGTCGATATCTTCGGTCGCCCACCAAAGCGCTTCTACGAAGCGCTCGCCGAATTTGCCGATGACGAGCGTGAGAAGCGCGAGCTTCTGCAGCTTCTTAGTGCAGAAGGCGCCACTGAGTTCAAGCGCCGTGCTGAGGTTGACACCGTCACCTACGCTGACATCCTGCTTGAGTTCCCATCTGCACACCCAAGCTTCCATGACATCGTTCGCATTGTCAGCCCAATGAAGCGCCGCGAGTACTCCATCGCATCCGCGCAGCACGTAACCCCCAACTCCGTCTCGCTGCTCATTGTAACTGTCAACTGGGTCGACCCCAAGGGTCGCGACCGTTTCGGTCAAGCGACACGCTACCTCAACAGCCTCAAGATTGGCTCGCCTGTTACCGTTTCGGTCAAGCCGTCCGTTATGAAGCTCCCTACCAAGACCACTGCGCCCATCATCATGGCTGGTCTGGGTACCGGTCTTGCACCTTTCCGTGCTTTCGTTCAGGAACGTGCTTACCAGAAGCAGCAAGGTCACGAAATCGGTGAGGTTCTACTTTACATGGGCTCCCGTCACCAGCGCGAAGAATACTTGTATGGTGAGGAATGGGAGGCATACCAAGATGCCGGTATCATTACTCTCATTGGTCGCGCCTTCTCTCGTGACCAACCTCAGAAGATTTACATCCAGGACCGTATGAGGGAGTCATTGACGGACATCCGAAGGGCTTATCTCGAAAAGGAGGGTAGCTTTTACCTCTGTGGACCGACATGGCCTGTGCCTGATGTCACTGAGGTGCTTCAAGAGGCTGTCGAAGTCGAGCACAAGGTCAAGAATGTCGGTGCTAAGAAGGTTGACTCACGCAAGGAGATTGAAAAGTTGAAGGACGAGGGCAGATATGTTCTTGAGGTTTACTAGAGTGCATGTTGATATTGAAGAAAGAGCCATCTCATGTTGTTATTGGTACCTTCCATACCCACTAGCGCACTGCCTATATAGTCAGAATCCTCCGTAACATCAATCCATTACTATATACTCCAACAGATATGAGATAAGATTAAGGAGAGGTGATTTGCATGTATGCTGTGAGGTGAACAGAACAAGACGTGGATAGCGCTATTGCTGGGATCCTCCATCCAAAGTTCCAAGTCCAGTAATGCGACGGACTAGCCATGTGCCATTAGTGCTAAACTTAGGCGTAAGCCTAATATTAGTCTTCAAACGTGGTGTCACAGCAAGAATGGTTTATAGCAGCCGAAGCCAGTTATATGAGAAAAGGTTCATGGTATTCAGCAAAGATGAGGCTTTCATGCAAGAAACACAAGACAAGTTGAAGAGTTGTTATTCAAACCCCTGATTCGATTATACAACTAGCTTACAGTCGACTTTGAATCTTCTCTAAGGTATCGCCTAGCGCATACTCATTTGCCACAGTCTTGCTTCTCACCTTTTCGCCTTCCTCCTTGGTGACGTAGCGTGCCTCCACGGCAGGGTTGTAGGAGAATTGACTCGCTTGTTTGACTTCCTCATCACTCATCCTCGCATTCTTTTTGCCGTCAGCGCGTTTGTATACATTGATCACGACAGCTCCGCCCAGGCCCAGGTTGTGCTGCAGCGCCACGTCTGCTCCATCAGCTAGTCTGTTGTTGGCCCAACCTCGAAGCTGCCAGGTCAGTTCTGCACATTGTGCCAGCCCAGTCGCGCCGAGAGGGTGTCCCTTGCTGATGAGACCGCCAGATGGGTTCACGATGGGTCCTTTGCCACCGTATGTGATATCGCCGTTGCGTACCATCATGTGTGCTTTTCCAGGTTCGCTGAAACCCAGACCCTCTAACAAGATGAGCTCATTCGCCGAGAAGCAGTCGTGTAGTTCCGCGACCTTGATGTCTTTCGCACTCACACCGGCCTCCTTCAAAGCCGCTTGTGCTGCGCGCTTAGTCATATCGTAACCAACGAGATCCATCGATGACTTAGAGTAAAGCTGAGGAGAGTCCGTCATCAGAGACTGTCCTGCGATCAGGATAGCTTGACTCTTGAGATGCGGTCTGGCATCCAAGAACTTTTGGCTCACGATAACGGCTGCGCCAGCACCATCGCTTGTCGGACTGCATTGAAGTTTAGTCAACGGGAAGTGAATCATGGGCGCCTTCTCAATCTGTTCAAGTGTGTAGACATCCCTGAACTGCGCATACGGATTCCTCGAGCTGTGTTCATGGCTAATCCTGGCAATCTCAGCAAAGTCGCGTGCCTCAGCTCCATGCTTCTCCATATATTCAAGACCAGCATTGGCAAAGTATTGAGCATTGGGTGGAGAATTGCTTATGCCGCGGGTGTCGGCCATCATACGCATCGAGAGACCCATGGGGGAAGGGCGATCGCTCCATGTTGATTTGATAGAGCCAGGCTGCATTTGTTCGAATCCAATAACGAGCGCGCAGTCAATCGCCCCGTTCTTGACCAGTGTTCGCGCTAGATGAAGACCGGTCGAACCAGTTGCACATGCATTGTTTGTGTTGTAAATTGGGATACTGGTGTTTGTCAGTATCTCTATACTTCACAAGGTCGTTATTAATTGCCATACCTCGACATGCCGAACTGGTAGAAGATTCTTTGACCGCTCGTAGTGTCTCCGTAACAGTAACAGGCAACTCCTGTCTCAACATCGTCGTAGTTAATTTGTGCATCCAACATTGCCTTTACTCCCGCCTCATAGCCCATCTCTGGATATGCGCGCGTTTGTCGGGGTTTGATGAACTTGGTGAGCCCAACACCAAGGACATAAGCTGGAATTTCATTTTTTGGTGCCATGACGATGCGGTGCTGTGCAGGTAGTCTGTACAAAGGTGGTGAATTACAGCAATTATTCTAGCATAAGATCGTTGGCATGAAGATTAGTATACGGGCGTACGGTACCTGGCGGGAGGCGACATCCTGTGCCGAGGTACATTACCCCACCTGAACACCTCCGCATCATCAGCACGTTCGACTCGTTCCTCATCCAAAAAGCACAGACCAATTTTGGTTGAAAGCGTGTTCAACGAGGTGTTGAACACATCGATGCGCCGGCGCATGTTTGACATGTTCACGGTCCCGGTTACCGCGCCGTGCCTCAGTCGTTCCCGATCAAGCTAGCGTCAGGTAAACTAGGAGGCAATATCCACTGCACGTCAACAAGCCAAACGTCTTCATCCCATCAAACAAAACTCCGTGTCGAGCAACCATCGGAGTGTATCCTTGGAGCCATGAGCTCGTCTTTAATCTGTCAGAAGATTGTCGGTGACCGGTCGTGTTGCAGCAGACGCTCACGCATAACCTGCGCCGAATGCCACCTATTGTGAACGCGTCACCTTTGTACTTCAATGTTCCATCTCTTCCTCCGCCGAGCCGAATTCCCGGGTTCGCTATCGTCTTCAGCTTTGCGACGGTAATTGTAGGAAGCTGATGGGTACCAGTAGATTGATGGGTCCCATATCTTTTTGCATTCGCACTCGCAGCCTCACAAACGACAATGCGACCTGACTCTTACAACCACCGGGACAAGCAGAAGATAAGGTGCTCGACTCATCAGTCAAGCCCATGAACCATGAGCGCAATCAATAGCGGATGGTGTTTTGCTCAGCGGCCCACGCGCAATTTGCAAAGGATGGCGGTTCCTGCCTTGGCGATTCGTTTCGAAACAGCTAGACTCCACCCCGACGTCAGGTTCATGCCAAACAAACATGAAACTTCATTATCGACGAATGAACGCGACCGTGTTACCGAACTGTGCGTCGGCATTTTTCCGCCCATGCTGCAGGTAATTAACTTAGTACAGTGGTGCAAACGCCAGTTGACCGTTTTGACACCCGTAGCGCGACCGATGGACCATGTTCCTGGACCACCATGGTCCAGAATCCAGGTTGACATCGCCGCGAGGCTGCATCGTGAGCTTGTTTGATGGGCGCTAGGTCGGAGATGGCCTCCATCCTTGGAAGTGGCAGATTGAGGGCTCTTGACCCGCAATGGCACAGCATACATATAGAGAGACATCTTGCGGCGACTTGTTCGGTACAAGCTCTCTCGCTTTCATTCATTCAATCTTTTTCTTTGCTCGTTCTACGAACGTTGCTTTCTAGTCATTCTTTACAGCCTTGACGGCTTCACACTCTTTTGTTGGCAGCGCCACAGCATTCTTTCCTCCACTTCAGTCATCACTCCTACAGCCAAAATGGCACGCACATTCCTTCTTTCCACAGCCCTTCTGGCACTTGGCGTCTCGGCGCAAACTTCCTCCAAATTCACAGACGAGAAGACTGGCATCACCTTCAGCGGTCTTCACCACTCTTCGGGCTACAGGCTAGGCTATGCCCTTCCGGAGAAAGCTACTACCGACTTCATCGTCCAGGTTCAAGCTCCGATCACCAACGATGGTGGTTGGGCTGGATTCAGCTTGGTATGTTAGGAGCAAGCGATGTTATAGACAATGTAAACTAACACACTCAGGGACAATCCATGACTGGCAACTTGCTGGTTGTTGCTTGGCCTCACGAGGGCGAAGTCATCGCCTCCTTCAGAGAAGCAACTGGATACACGAACCCAGCTGTCAAGACTGGTGACTTCACCATGTCCCCAATCCCCGACGGAACCTTCGTCAACGACACCGCCTTTTCATACACCTTCCTGTGCTCAAACTGCATCAGCGAGGACCCAAAGACCGGTCTCGTCATCTACGAGGACCCTAGCGTAAACATCATGGGCTGGGCTTACTCTAACAAGGCGCTTGCCGACTCTACCGATGCTGGTGCGGCTCTCAACTACCACGACGCTGGTTTCGGAGCTTTCGGACTTCCCATGAGCAACGCTAGCAGCCCCGACTTCGAGAAGTGGGCTGCTATGGCGGTGGCTAGCACCCCTAGCGGGGGCAACTCTACCACACCCGGAGGCAACTCGACCGCGCCAGCAGCCCCAGTTGCTGGAAACACAACAGCCACCGTCGCTAACTCTACGTACGACTACATCGTCGCCGGAGGTGGTGCTGCTGGTATCATCGCAGCTGAGAGGCTTGCAGAGAGCGGTGCGTCCGTCCTCTTGGTCGAACGTGGTGGCCCATCATACGCTTTCACTGGTAAGACTGAGGTCATGCCATGGAACGACACTGTTTCGATGTACGATGTTCCAGGCTACGGTTACTACCTCAGCGATGTCGGCAGCCCCGCTTACTGCGCCGACACCGCCGACATGTCTGGCTGCCTCCTAGGTGGTAGCACTGCCATCAACGCTATGATGTACGTCAAGCCTCAAGAGCGTGATTTCGACGACAAGTGGCCTGCTGGCTGGAAGTGGGCTGATGTCGCTGAGGCGGCTGATCGTCTGTACGAACGCAACCCTGGACAAACTTACGGCTCAGAAGACGGTATCCGCTACGACAACGGTGCCTACGATGTCTTATCGCAGTTCTTCGCTGGCCAGGGATGGACCGAGACCGACTTTGTAAAGAACCCCAACGCCAAGGTCGACGTCTACGGCCACCCTACCTGGAACATCGCCAACGGTCTTCGCTCCGGTGTGGTCAGGACTTACCTTCCCCTTGCCCAAAAGCTCAACAACTTCGAGCTGATGATGAACACCAACGTCGTTCGCGTTGTTCGTGAGGGATCGGCTGTCTCTGGTATCGAGGTTGAGACTGCAGACGGCAAGCGCGTTATCTACAACGTCAAGTCCGGAGGCAGTGTCATCCTGGCTGCCGGATCCATGTCTACTCCCCGTATCCTCTTTAACTCTGGTATTGGTCCCGCCGACCAGCTTCAGACTGTTGCCAGCGGCAGCAGCGGTGTCACACTTCCCGATGAGGCTGACTGGATCGACCTCCCCGTCGGTGCTGAGATCAAGGACCACCCTATCTTCACTGTCAAGTTCAACACCAGCACTCCCCTCTCCGGAACGGACGAGAAGGCTCTCACCAGCCCCAACCAAACCACCATTGACCTGTTCGCTAAGGGCTCTGGTGAGCTCGCACAGTCCGGTCAACGTCTTAACTGGTGGTCATCTGTCAACACCACTGACGGCAGCGAGATTTTCTTCCAGGGTACTTGCAACTCGCCTGCCGACAACACCATCCAGATGAAGGTTTACATCACCCACGGTCTGCAGTCTGTCGGTAGCCTTGGTATCACAGCTGATGGCGCCACCACCTTCATCACCGACCCCCACATGACCTCTGACGTCGACACTGAGGCCGTCACGATGATGATGGACCGTTTGATTGCCATGACACAAGGTGGCAACTCCACCCTCTCTTTGATTGCTCCTGCCGGTGTTTCCAACGTTACTGGCGCGGACCTTATCAAGTCTTTCAAGACCGGAAGCCACTACGTCGGTACCGCTAAGATGGGAACCGAGGGTGATGCTGGTGTTGTTGTTGACACTGACACCAAGGTCTATGGTACTGACAACCTGTTCGTCGTCGATGCTTCCATTCACCCCGATCTCCCTACTGGTAACACCCAGGCGATCGTCATGGTTGCTGCTGAGGCCGCTGCTGCCCGTATCCTTGCTCTTGGTGACAGCCCCGCCAGTGGCACTGCTCCCACTGCTTCCACTACCCCTGAGGCCACACCAGAGGCAGCTAGCTCCAGTGTACCAGCTGCGACTCCCGTAGTCCCTGCTGCTTCTTCTGCAGCACCTATCGGTACCGGCTCGCCTGCGGCCCCATCTGCTGCGCCTGTAGAATCTGCGGCACCCATCGAGTCAGCAGCGCCTGCTGAGTCTGCCTCTCCCGTTGCGTCTTCCCCTGCCGGATCATCGACCCCTTCGGCACCAGCCGAGTCTGCCCCTGCTACGACCCCATCTCCCGCTGAGCCTGCCCAGCCTGCCCAGCCTAGCACCGCCGGTGCCTACGAGCGCTGCGGCGGCATTGGCTTCACTGGCCCTACTACATGCGCCAGCGGCTGGAAGTGCGTGGTCCAGAACGACTACTACTCCCAGTGCCTTCAATCAACTGACTCCAACCGCGGCCGCTCTGAGCCTGTATCCCGCCGCCATGACACCTTGACCAGGCGCGCTATGGTTGGCCACAAGCCAGTCAGCCCCGTCGTTGTCCACGAGCACATTCACTCCCGAAAGCTCGGAAGGGCTAGCTTCTTGGACTCTTACCAGTCCTAGAGCATGACAGAAGGAAAATTCCTCGAGTTATGAGTGAGAAGGAAAAGTTTCTTGTATATATACTTTCTTCGATTCGTTTGGCTGCGCCTTTGTATAGTTTATCAAATATTCATGACTACGTTCACTGCTGTCTCTATGTGCTGTGTTTGTTCCTGCGTTCCTTTCGCCTTCATTTGTCTGATGTCTTGGTAATAGGAGACGAGTAAGTAAAAAATCTCTGTGAAGGGATTGATATGAATGTCGTATCTAGTCTTGAGAAGCATGACATGCTCGTCTTTGGGAGTGGACCTCCACGATACAGCAGTTGGCGTTCGGAATTGGATGAAAAAGCTGCACAAGTGGCAGGGAGTTGTTCGACGTCTGGAAGTGTGAGGGGGAGCTCACTAACATGAAAGTCTTCATAAATGACGATAGTACATTGAGATGGGTATAGTGCCATGATCTAAATAAAGCAAACTCGTGCTGTGAGAATGGCCAAAAGTGAAATAGGAAGAATTAAAAAGTATGTGTCGAAGAAGAGAATTAAGCATGCGCTTCATGAGCCGTCGTACGCTGCCGCAGACCTTCATCATCGCCGGACAAAAGAAGGACTAGTCTTGGTCCATGGTGAGTTTCTGGGCCGTCTTGGTACTCTCAGAGATTGCTTCGTTGTTGAGCTCAGCGAGCTGCTTCAAAGACTCTTGCATGGCTGCTATCTGCTAGCGGCGGATTAGCTAACTGTATCTCATGTGCAACTAGTAAAAGCAAAAAAACCACATACAGGGTTGGGTTCAACTTACAGTTCCGACCACGTCTTTGTGGTCGCCCGTTCCATTTACTTTGGAGGGCTGGGCACCAGGCCACGCATCTTCAGCCGAGTCTTCATCTTCCTCAGCCAAGCTGTTGATATTGCGTCTCTCGCCAACGGTGGCCGCGACACAAGCGATACGGTCACCAGCTGCTAGCATGGCCTCGAGGCGGTCGATCTTGTCGAGGAGAAAAGCGTTCTCCTTTTCTAGGGGCTCTACGCGGGCTAGATGCTTGCGCACGACCTCGCCTTTCATGGTTTCGATACGGTCTTCTGCGTCTTCGGCAGCCCTGATGGCTTTGTTCCGCTCTTGTTCAAGTACGCGAAGTTTTTCTTCGTACACTGCCACATCCGATGCGGAGGTGTCGGCAATCTTTGGACTTTGGCTCTGTTGCGACGCGGCTTGATGTAAGCTTTGCTGTTCAGCTGCCTCTCGTCTTGCAGTCTCGAGCTCGCTAATGTGATTGAGACGTTCCGCCTCCAATTCGGCAGTGAGGGCATCGTACTTCTCACGCAGTTGCTGCAAGGCGTCGTTGGTACTAGCTTCCATACCGGCCATGAGCTCACTGATAGCTTCCTCATGTGCCTGGTCCATGGATGCTTTCTGCTCTGTGAGATCAGAGTGCCGTTTCTGTACGTCTCCAAGCTGCTGCCTTAGAGCCGCCATATCGTTCGAATGGCCTGTCTTGAACTCCTCCTTCAGTAGCTCGATAGCATCACTTTGTTCTTGATCTGTCTTGGCAGCTCTTTCCTGCAACGCATTGTACTCGGATTGTAGCTTTGAGAATGCTCGTTCGTGGTCCTGCGTAAGCGACTCCTTGAGCTTTGCTACGGCTTCCTGATGCTCCTTGTCGGCGGCAGCCTTTTCGGCGAGAAGCATCTCGTACCTTTGAGCTATTTCATCAGCTCCAGTTGGACTACCTTGATTTCTCGTTGACTGTCCTTTCTTGAGTTCATCAATTTCAGCGTGCAGTTCTTTTTTAAGAGTAGCAAGCTCATTAAGTGCGGATTGCTTTCCTGAAAGTGCCGCTGACTTCTCTTGTTCTAAACGATCTGCATCGCTTTGCATAATCTCTAGTAGGCTGGCATACTTCTGTTCGATCTCGGCTTGTTGCGTTTCGAGTGCCTTGGTGTGCGTTTCTTGGGCCATCAGCTGCTCTGTGAGCGAATCTGCGTGGCTCTTTTCAAGGTCTGAAAGTCGCTTGGAGAGGTCGTCCCGTTGACTCTGCAAATTCTCAATCTCAGCCTTGTGGCTTCCTTCACTGCTGCTCATGTCTCCAGTGACAGCATCGTACTTGAGCTGCAAAGCGTTCAAAGCTTCAGATGTGCTCTTCATATCCTCCTCTACTCGATCATACTTGGCTTGGAGCTCGCCCAACAGTTGCTTCGATGTGCTGTCTGCTTCTTCCTTCAGCTGCACGACAATGCGGCTATGTTCGTCGTCTGCAGAAGACTTCTCTTCCAATAGCGCGTCGTACTTGGATTGAAGTTCGCCTAAAATCGATTTGGTCTTGCTCTCCGACTCCGCCTTCAAGGCTTCTATCGTCTGAGAGTGGGTTGCTTCAGTCGCAGTCTTCTCCTCTAGCAGTGTATCGTACTTTGTTTGAAGCTCGTCGAGGTGTTGTTTCAATGTGGTCTTTGATTCTTCCTTCAAAGCTTCCATGGCGTGTTTGTGCGCTTCCTCAGCTGCAGTCTTCTCGTCTAGTAAAGCGTCGTACTTGGACTGAAGCTCGTCGACCGTCTGCTTGGAAGTAGTATCGGCACTCTGCTTCAAGAATTCGATGGTATTGTGGTATTCCTCTTCAGTGGCTTTCTTCTCCTCTAGCAAAGCATCGTATTTCGATTGGAGCTCACTGGTTAGTTGCCTCGACTGACTTTCAGAGTCTTGCTTCAAGGACTCCATGGCTTGTTCGTGTGCTTGCTCGGCTGTGCTCTTCTCGATTAGTAGAGCGTCGTACTTGGATTGGAGCTCTTCGATCGTTCGCCTGGATGAGGCATCGGCATCCTGCTTTAGAGATTTGAGGGCGTTGAGGTGTTCCTCTTCAGTAGCTTTCTTCTCTGCCAGTAAAGCATCATATTTGGACTCCAGCTCACTGAGTAGCTGCTTTGTCTGGCTCTCAGAATCCTGTTTCAAGGCTTCAATTGCGCGACTGTGTGCATCTTCAGCCGAAGTCTTGTCTTCCAACAAAGAGTCATGACGAGCTTGCAGATCAGCAATGATTGACTGAGACATGGCATGTGCCTCCATGGTGGCCGATTTCTCCTCTTCTAATCGGTCTAGTTTAGACTGAAGACCTTCGACAGCAGCAACTTCCTGAGTAAGGTTGTCAACGCGAGCTTGAAGATCAGCAACAAGTGACTGGGAAGTGCCATGAGCTTCTGCGAGAGTAGCCTTCTCTTCTTCGACATCCTTGAGTTTGGCAAGAGCATCGTCGCGATTTTGCGTTGCACGGGCGGAGTTCTCCTTGGCATCCGTCAGGTCTTTCTTCAGAGCTTCCAGTTCCGTGGACCGCTCGGCAAGTACACCCTCGTGCTCTCTTAAAGTATCGTTCTTTTCAGCGACGAGTGAATCGTAGTCGGCTTGCAGGGTATTGAGTCGCTTTGTGGCGTCTCCTTCCAGATCCGCTCTCAGAGACTCGATTTCACGCTCGTAGTCCTCGCCGATGACGCGGAGATCTTGTTTGTGTTTATCATGCATGGTATCAAGCTCTGCTTTTTGGGCTTCCATCTTCTTGTTTGCCTCATTCAGCTCAGCTTGAACCTTGGCCATGTCGGAAGCGTGTTGAGACTCTTGCTGCTGCGAGGCTTTCTCAAGTGTTTCGATAGTGCTGCGCAAACTAGCGGTCTCTTCCCTAAGCTGCTCGAGTTCGGCAGCATCAGTGGTAAGCTGATCGTTAATGGCATCCAGTTGTCGGACAAGCTCGTCACACTCATCAGTCTTGACCTTGATTGCAGCTTCGTGTGACTCCTTCAGATCCTGAATTTGCTTGTGGAGCTCTTCAGCTACTTTGGCACCATCGGTCGAGCCTTGTTGAAGCGCCACAATCTGCTCCTGAAGACCGTCAATGGACTTGAGATGGCCGGAAAGCTCATCCTCTCTCGCGCGTAGCTCACTCTCTGAGCTTTTCTGGAGCTCCTCGATTTTGGCTTGCATCTGTTCTGCGTGCGCATTGCGTTCTTTCTCTAGGTCCGCAGAGACTTGGTCGGCCCGCTCTTGCAGTTTGGCAATATCGTCCTGTAGTTCTTTCTGGGTCTGGAGGTGGGACGCAATGGTGTCTTCCTTGATGCGTAGTTCATCCGTGTGCTTCTGGTGTATCGATTCGATCTCGGATTGGAGTTGCTCAACCGCTGCCGAAGACTCTGTTGACTTTGATTCGAGGGATCGCTGCGCTTCTTGCAGGGCGTTGTTGTGTATTTCCTCCCGAGAAGCAACCTGTTCCACGTACTCGCCGACAGTCTTGGTCAGCTCGGTGATCTTAGCATCGCGCGCACGGAGATTGTCCGACTGGCTCTGCTCGAGCTCTGTGAATTTTGTCTCGAGATTTTCCAATGTCTTCTTGGCGATATCCAGCTCTTGGGAGAGGCTGTCGCGCTCTTGTCGGAGTGTGGTGACCTCTTGGGTGAGCTCCTCGATTTGTGTGGCTTGCTCGACAAGCCTCTTCTTCTCCTCGTCCCATTGACGTCCCTGTTGTTCCAGCTCGGCATTCAGATCGTCGAGGACCTGCTGCAGCTCGCTGGCCTTGGCAGCTTCGGTAGCTTCTCTCTCCTGCGCAGCCTTCTTCTCCTCCTCGAGCTGTTGGCTCTGCTCTTCCAGCTGCTTGGTCTCTCTCGCAAACTTCTTTTCCATGTCCTCGACGAGGATTGTGTGGGCGCGTTGCTCTGATGGCGAGGCATCTGAGCCGCCTGAGATGGCCTTGTCCTTTTCGACAATGGCGGCCTGGGCATCGGCCAGCTGTTTGCGCAGCTTGTCCTTTTCGGAATGGAGGTTGTCGACTTCACGGGTGAGGTCTTCGCATTGCTCCTGCAGCTTGTCGCGTAGGTTGGTCTCCTTGAAGAAGTCCTGCATGATCTGAGCGCTCCGCCTTTTCATCTCCACATCCATTTCGGCACGTCCCGTCGGCGCAGTATCCGGTCGCGGCGGCTCTTCGCCGAGTTTCGCCAGCGATGCCCTGATGGGCTCGAGAGCGCTCCTGCGGTTTCCGGCTTCATTGTCAGACGCGGCCTTGTCTTTGAGGGGCGCAATGCGGCGCGGGGATACGATAACGGGGCTCTCACTGCGGACAAATTAGCTCATGGCAATTCAGATGCTCGTGGCCCCACTCACGCTCCCTCTGCTGTATCCTCGGTCTCCGGTGCTGGGGGTGGAGGGGCAGAGACGGACAGCTTCTTCGCGTGTCCCGACGGCACCTTTGGTGTTGCGCCTGCAGCTCTCGCTCCTGCCGCTAGTCGGGTAGGGGTCGGGCGTGTCGATGAAGCCAGAGAAGCACGCGGGGTTGCGCGGGTCGTGGCTGCCTCTGCGGATGGGCGTGTTGTCGCGGGACGCTTGGCTGCACTCGTGGGCGTGGTGGTCGAGGAGGCAAGGGATTGGCGCGACGTTGGCTTAGCCGGCGATGGTCGCGAGGCAGTGGATGATGTGACGGGCGTCCGGCGCACTGCTGGTGTTCTCTTCTTCTCGTCCCCCGACGTCACAGAAGACAGGTCTGGCTCGGCATCGGATGCGGTCTTGGAAGACGAGATGGTTCTGCGGGCTGTAGTGCCTGCCGCTGGACGCGTAGGCGGCTTGTTCAAGCTGGATCCAACTGTGCTTGTGCGTGATGTCGCTGTGGTGGGGGCTTTTGACGCGCTCGTGGGCGTTCGCGCCGTGCTTGCTGATGCGGCAGTAGGTCGACGGGCACTCGCAGCAGTGCCGCTGGTTGCAGTCGAGCGACGGGGTGGAGCACCCTCTTTCGAGGCTGGAGAAGGCGCATTGGCAGCCATCATGCGGCGGATGGAGCTCGTGGGTGTTGAGGGGGCGGGCAGTTTCTTGGGCAGCGGACTCCCGACTGGCAGGCTTTCCGAAGAAGCTCTGTCGCGAGCCGGGGGAGTCGTGGCCATTCGGCGCTGCGATTCAGGGGCCTATGCTGATCAATGCACTCCAAATTACGCACTACCGCAGGTGGGGTGTGCGACGATTAACGGCCTGGTAGTTGTAATATAGATGGGAGCAGTAGCAGCTGTCGCGTTATAGTCGCGACATGCTCCTGCGCTGGACTGGCAAAAGCATGTGGGGATGGCAAAAGCAGGGTCTAATAGCTTCCACACCGACCTACACAGCCAGCACCACACACCAACCACCGCCCTTCATCACACACCTGACCACTGAAGAGAGCACACGTCGAACTTGTCACCCTGCATGATCAATATCAACCTCCGGAATCAACGTGGGCCGAACCTGATGGAACCAATGCACCCCATCTTCAGGCTCCATCGTAGTGGCTTGCAGCTCCCCCACTACGCATCCTATAGCCAGGAACATCTTAAGGCATCAACACGCGACGCACCCCATCCATGCTTCAAGCCCGCATTTACGTCATTGGCTACCTAGGACGCGTAGATAGAACTGCCTTTGTCTCAACATTACTCACTACATAGCTTAGTGACTGACAATCTAGATACGACCAAGAAGAGCGAGCACACTTAGCTCTGCCTGTTGCCTGGCTGGCTTCGCGCCGGTCATTAAAGTTGTGCTTTAATGCTAGATACGAGACCACCGTGAACACACAAAGATATAAGCCTATTCTCCTTAGGCTGTGTAATGCTCACTCTCAATCCAGTTCGTACAATCATGGTCTACATTCCTAACCTTCACTACGACAAGCAGCGTCTTCTCGCTCTCCTTACCGCCGACCTTACATCAGCTCAACTGAACAGAATTCAGGAACTGTTCGGCATCGGCGTTACTTTGCGCTCTCCATACCCTGCGGAAGAGCTTTTCATCAAGGACAAGCGTGAGTGGTCGCATCTTTCTCATGCGGACTCAATGCGAGCATATCCCGAACAAGACCCCTTGCTCGTCACCGACTCCCATACGCCGCACGATGGGGGAATCTGGTACATTGAGGGCTTCGCCACTGCAGACGATGTTGCAAATAGGCTAGCTGAAAGCCTAAACACTCTTTACAAGATACGCATGGATATCTGTGATGTTGTCATGCAGTTCGCCAGCTACAGTGTTGCCAATACACACATCTCAAACGACTTGTAGCATGTCAATGTGCATATCCCAATCCCTGACGACTTTGAGCAGAAAACACTTTTTTGTTCAGGCGCCAACCATATCAGAGAGCGGTACAACGATCCTACGTGGGTTATAGCTACGCCTGATGAGCCGGAAGATAGCAGGACACTGGAAGCTGTAGGCAGCATTATACCACGACCAGAAATTGTGTATCGGGTGAAGAAAGACATCGCAAGACAAGCGGGCTTGGAGAGCAAATGGATGGTGGCGAGCGACGCACCAAATGAATGCGAACTGCCTAATAAAACCAATTTGACCTTCCCGCCAGGCAGTAAAGTCGTGCAGTCCGAATACGATCCAGATGTTGCGATCCCAGTGTACAAGAGACCCATTGGAAGTCTGTAGCTACTTTCGTTCGACAAAGTTTCCTTGATATTCCACTTAGTGTGGGGCTTGCCGACCTGCGGTATTGTGACTAACTAACAATGTACTAGACGGCCAGGGTACCCACTATTTATAAAGTGATCCTCGCCCAACGCGTACCGCAAGTTGGCTACAACATCAACATCACCTTCATTAGTCTCAGACACATCAGCAGAAATGGCCGCCTTTCGCTTCCTCGACCTTCCCCGCGAAGTCCGCGACAAAATCTACGGGATTTTGCTATGTACTTTCCACAGCCTGATACTGTCACGGACGATATGAACACCCTAGAGCACTTCAGCCCGAGCATTTTACGCGTCAACAAGCAAGTGTACTCCGAAGGCTACAACGTCATGATCAAGGTTAACCGCTTTGTGCTCGTGACTTGCAATGGCGGTCTGTATTTTTCGCATATGCTCATGCAGAACGACGTACCTTTTCTAGCCGTCGACCATGGATTTGGAGCCTCCTCCAGTGATCCTGCGACCAGGGATTTCCGGGGTCATGCCATACATGTCACCATAGGGAACAGCAAGTATGATTGTCAGTGAGATCTACCACCTTCAGAGTCCCTGTGGCCATGCAACATTATCATGCTTTTTCGAGACCTTGAACTCCTATGCCAAGCTATCATGCGAGGAGATGATCTCCTGGAGGACCATATGGACGTTGTGCTGATAAGCATTGAGCTTGGACTGGCCGCTATAGTTCCACCGTATCAAACAGAGGCCCCAACGACATACTTCTCCTCCACTAAAGTACAAAAGGAGCTACTGGAACCCTTCCGCCGAACAATCAGTGACGTACCAAACGTCGACATTAGTGGCATAGTCGACGAATCCCTGGTTCGATCAGCCCTAAAGGACCTCGCACGAGACAAATTTGACGACCTCGACGACTTGATCGAGTCATGGAGAGCGCGCGTGGCACAAGGTACAAAATTGTGCGAGCGAGGAAACCGTAATGGTTCAGCGCATTGGTTCAAAGTTATTAAGGAAATTATGAAAGCGGTCGATGGGCCCATGTGGACCCGCGTCGTTGAAAAGGGCGGCTCTCCGTTCGTAGGAAAGGTCGCAGAGCTTCACTACACTGCCAACCTCCACATCGTGGCTTATTTCCTCCTGTGGCTCGAAGAAGGAAATCGCAATGCCATACCTAGCATCCAATATGCATACGAGAACGTGAAACGTGGTATGGAGGCAGAATACTGGGGAATTGAGCACTCATGGAAACCATCCCCGGCACAACATTTGCACAGCATATTTTATTATGCAAAGTTCAGTAGGTTATCGGGAGTGCTGACCCTGATTCCGGTCGCAGTCGACACGATCGATCAACTGGTTGAATTATGCCCGAGCGACCCCGAAATTCTGGACGAAAAACGGAAGATTGAAGCATGGAAGCGGAGTGCAGGTCCCGTCGACGAGAGTGCCTTCAACGCTACGATGAACGGGCTTGAACTATAACACGTTCAAGCGCGTGCACTACTTCGTCAAGACAGATGACTCTAGCCGTAATTTGAAATACGTTCTACACATCGGTGTAAATGTGGAAAAAGAACTAACGGCTTTGAGAGTAGAAACAAGAGGCGCTCGTTATTGATGTCATTCGCGGCCTATTGCCTCTTCTCTGCCTAGCGTCACGTTGCCTAGTCCGCGGAACGTAATGCTTCGCACCGCTTGTCAACGCTTGATCTGCCGTCTTTCCTACCGTCCACCAATTAGCGCATCCCAAGCTCTCGGGTTCAATCGGACATAATTCTACAACCCGTGTCTGGCCTGGACGTCGCAGCAAATGTGGAGATGGATGCGGAGAAATCTGGGGTTAAGTCGCCAGAGACCGGCAACATGCCTCGGTTCGGTCGAGAGATGACGACGACCAGATGTGGATGCCTGAGCCGTGTGCCGTTTCACGCCTCTACGAAGGCTATCTTGGTACTGCATTATAGCCATCATGCCGCCTTCTGTGAAGACACGATTACGCGCTCCTGTTCCTCCTCCAGAACCCCCTTCGACTATCTATCGTCGCACCCGCAACTCCACCATCATCGACCTTGAAAGCGCCACCTCTAACCATGTCTGATACTGTCAAGATTGATCACGAAATGACCGAGCACAATGGCATGCCAATCGCAGGCAACGGTTCGCCATTGAGCCGTCAGGTCACTGTAGCTCTGTCTCCCGAACAGTATGAGCGCCTCTTTTTCCAGCCATCTGCTCCACGCCGTGGAGATCTCGCGAAACGGTTCGCCAACCCAACATTGCTCGGTCTCATTGGCTTTTTGGTTCCATATACTTCAACCATCTTGATTCTCTGCGGCTTCCAAGGAGCAGTTGCTCCACAAAGCTTGGTCGGTCTCAGCGCCGACTACTATTTCTTCGGTGCCTTAGCCATGAATGTCGCTGGCATCGCTGAGTTTATTCTCGGCAACAGTATGTGAATCGTATTCTGCTGCTTATCTGATGCTAATCTGTATCAGCGTTTCCTATGGCAGTTTTTCTCATATACGGAAGTCATTGGGGTAGTCTGGCGTACCAGCAGGATCCCATACATCAAACCACTTCTGCATTCGGAGAATTGGGAGGCGCGAATGGTGCAGCCTATAACGCATCCCAGGGCTTCCACAACGTCTCAATGTAAGCGAGGCCATCCAGTCCATATGCGCATGATGTCCGATATCTAATCGTCATGCAGGGTACTCGCTAGCTTTGTCTTCTTGATAGGAACGCTTCGTGTCAACCTCTTCTTTACCGCCACATTCTTTGGTCTCGTCATGCTCTTCGCTTTTATCGCCGCCGCCGATTTTTCCGTCGCATCAGCCACAACAGAAGCCGATGTTGAACACATCAACACGTTGCTGAAATGCGCAGGAGGTTTTGGCTTTCTGGGCTTAATATCTGGCTGGTACCTTGCAATTCTTACCGCTTGCGAAGCCGTGGGAATTCCATGCCCACTTCCTGTGTTCGACTTGAGCAGCAAAGTCTTCCCAAATAATAAGCCCCAGGAAGGCTAAAGCAGCTAAGCACCGGTCGCAATGCTTTCAACCGTTGGTATCCATGCGGGAACGAGCTGTGCCGCTGTTAGCTACCCGCTGTTACGCTACTTAGGCGTTGTGGTTACAATAAAACAGTCGCTTAAAGTCAACCGAGGCACTACGGGTGATGCAATATGACATGCGCATCGTGTTTTGTTGGACCCGGTGGCTGAATATCGCCTATTCTCACGGGTCGATCGTGGAGCAACACCATGCAGATCTGGGGCTCGTACACGCGGGGTAGCTTGGTCAATTATTATTACGTTCTCATGTAAAGGTAGAGTAGAGCATGGCCGGGTTCTATTCCGGCTTAATTCAGTACCTTGGCAACATGATGATTCTTGGAAATGGTACGGCAGGGAAGCCATAAAGGGTCGGGAATCTCAAAAAGTTGTACCTATATCGTCTAGCAACAGAAGTTCACCCGTCGTAGCCATGGTGCATTCAGCCTCATCCATCCTTCTGTTCGGTGCTGCGTTATTGTCGACCACCTACGCGATAGGTCCTGACTGCGTTAATGGTCCGCTGAAAGACAATAAGATTTGCGATGTCAATGCTCCACCAACCGAGAGGGCAGCCGCTCTCGTCGCAGCTATGGAGACGGCGGAGAAGCTCGATAACTTGATGAGGTAGACGCTCACTGCGAGTCTCGAAGAATACCAAGCTAATAGAGGCAGCAAATCCAAGGGCGCTGCTCGACTCGGTCTTCCAGCTTACAACTGGTGGGGAGAAGCATTGCACGGTGTAGCTGGGGCTCCGGGTATCAACTTCACCAAACCCTTCACAAATGCCACCTCTTTCCCCATGCCATTGCTCATGTCGGCTGCCTTTGACGATGACCTTATTCATCAGGTCGCCAATATCATCGGAAATGAAGCACGTGCGTTCGGCAACGGTGGTGTGGCTCCTGTGGACTTTTGGACTCCCGACATCAACCCATTCCGCGATCCTCGTTGGGGCCGTGGTTCAGAAACACCCGGAGAAGACATACTGAGAATCAAGGGCTATACAAAGAGCCTACTGGCAGGACTAGAAGGTGACCAGGCACAACGAAAGATCATTGCGACATGCAAGCACTACGTTGGCTACGATATGGAGGCCTGGGGCGGCACCGATCGCCACCACTTCGACGCCAAGATCTCGATGCAAGATCTAGCAGAATACTATATGCCTCCGTTCCAGCAATGTGCACGGGACTCAAAAGTCGGATCATTCATGTGTTCTTACAATGCTGTCAACGGCGTCCCCACATGTGCCGATACATACGTTCTCCAGACCATTTTGCGCGACCACTGGAATTGGACGGAGAGCAACAACTACATCACCAGCGACTGCGAGGCCGTCGCCGATATCTCTGAGAACCACAACTACACCAAAACGCTTGCTGAGGGCACTGCAGTGGCATTCAACGCTGGCATGGATAACAGCTGCGAGTACTCAGGATCTTCCGATATTCCTGGAGCTTGGAGTCAAGGACTCATGAATATCTCCACTGTAGACAGAGCTCTTACGCGTCAATATGAAGGGCTCGTCCGCGCCGGGTACTTTGATGGTGCTGGAGCTGTATACGCAGACCTAGGCATCAACGATGTCAACACGCCGGAAGCACAGCGACTCTCTTTGCAGGTTGCATCCGAAGGCCTGGTTATGCTCAAGAACGATGATACGCTTCCACTCCCGCTTTCCAATGGAACCAATGTCGCTATGATCGGGTTCTGGGCTAACGACTCTTCGAAGCTGTCTGGTATCTACAGCGGCCCTGCTCCTTACCTGCGTACGCCAGTATGGGCTGGTACGCAGCTTGGCCTGAAAATGTCCATTGCCACAGGTCCTGTCTTGCAAAACTCCAGCGCTCGGGATAACTGGACGACGAATGCGCTCAACGCAGCGCAAGGCTCCGATTACATCATCTACTTCGGTGGGCTAGATACTTCAGCAGCGGCAGAGGGCTTCGACCGTACGAGCATCAGCTGGCCCAGCGCACAAGTCGAACTCATCACCAAGTTGGCTAAGATCGGCAAGCCTCTTGTCGTCGTTGTGCTGGGAGACATGGTCGACAACTCGCCCCTCCTGTCCATGGAAGGTGTCAACTCAGTAATCTGGGCCAACTGGCCGGGTCAAGACGGTGGTTCAGCAGTCATGCAAGTCATCTCTGGTGCGCATGCAGTCGCGGGCCGTCTACCAATCACGCAATATCCTGCGAGCTACACGGAACTCTCCATGTTGGACATGAACCTGCGCCCAGACGCCGACAGCCCCGGTCGAACCTACCGCTGGTACAACGAGTCCGTACAGCCGTTTGGCTTTGGCTTGCACTACACCACTTTTGCAGCGAACTTCAGCAGTAGCCAAGGCCTTACCTACAACATCCAGGAACTGATGAGTAACTGCACGCAAAAATACTCAGATCTATGCGACGTTCCTCCACTAGAAGTTACGGTTACAAACAAGGGTAACCGAACCTCTGACTTCGTCGCTCTAACGTTCATCAAGGGTGAAGCTGGGCCGAAGCCCTACCCACTCAAGACTCTGGTTTCTTACGCACGAATGAGAGACATCTCTGGTGGTCAGACGAAGATGGCGTCACTCGCCCTCACGCTCGGAACGTTGGCGCGAGTCGACCAGATGGGTAACACAGTTGTGTATCCGGGAGAGTATACGTTGCTGCTTGATGAGCCCACGCAGGCAGAGATCAAACTGACGATTACGGGTGAGGAGACAGTGCTGGACAAGTGGCCGCAGCCGCCATCGGCTAGTTAAATCACTCTGGGCAGCTCTCGATAGCAGAAGCTTATACGACAGCCTTTCTTTCGTGATCATCATGTAGCTCTTGATCGCTCTTTGTGAGCCTGAGATGGAATGAACGATTTCGATTGAAACGAATGAATATGTCTGTTATTACAATTACACCTCTAGGACAGTAATCCTGCGGATGTGGACATGTAAAAGTAAGGGCTTAACAAGGGACTTTGTGTAAGGAAGCTTTGCAGATCGTACAAGTGCCACTGAAACCTCACAACAGCCCTATTTCGAAAGCACGTCAAGCATTATCTACTTTCCAGTCTTCGTGCCCACTGATGCGTCATATCCACTCGTCGAAGAGCCCTGTTCAGGACTTGTATCATGCCGCGCTCTTCTCCAGCGTCGACTTCTTCAATTTAGCAATGCGACGGGGAAATAAGTTGTTGCAGTCAAGGGCTACGTGATGGCTACCAGACCCAGTAGCAGCTGTAGCTGGTGTCGCTACAAGCGCATGAACGACGTGTATTCGAGGGGAGGCGACGTCCCAACGGTTTCACTCTTGGATGCGTCTGCATGCTTGCTCAATTCGATATCGTCCGCTTGCGCAGGAAGTGTTCTCGCGGCCTGTTTTGATATAACGCCGAGGCTAGTGGATCGCGCTGGTACAAGTGCGGACAAGGCTGGCGGCGCGGAGTTCAGCGGGGTATGGCTTCCGTCCCCGGCTCAGGACGCCCAGAGCTTCTTCACGGGCAAACGCCCGACCTTCTCCTCACCCAAGCCCGAAGTACAATCCCACCATCCCTGGACATCTCGTATGTCTGTCGATCGCTACTTCGTATTTTAGCGCTATATCAGACGATGCAGGCCAAGAGGTGGGACTTGATGCATCGCGACCAATTTCTCCGTCGCCCGGTTCATGGCAAGGGAGCGCTGTTTGCCGTGAGGTCATCGAGCGTGCAGCAAAGTGACCACCGGATATTAAGCTCGTCATGGTACCATGAATATGAGTATGCGCGTTGACTGTTCTCTGCGGTAAAGTCTCGTCACGATGGCTACTACACTTATCCTTTCGGCATGCCTCGCCCTGCAAGCTGCAGCCAGAACGGTCAGATCACCCACACCTCCTATGGGATGGAACTCGTACAACACCTGGAACTGTTTGCCCTCTGAAGATAAGATTAGAACAAGTGCACAAGGACTCATCGACCTCGGACTTGACAAGGCTGGCTACAACTTCGTAACAGTCGACTGTGGCTGGCCCTCTGAAGACCGCGATGCTGAGGGTAAACTCCAATGGAATGAAACCCTCTTTCCATCGGGTGGTAAAGCACTTGGCGACTTCATCCATGGTCTGGGGTTGGATTTCGGTCTTTACTCTGGCGCTGGGTACCTGCAATGTGGATCAGAAGCGCTGCCTGCGAGTCTGGGATTTGAGCAGCTAGATGCTGAAAGCTTTGCTGAGTGGGGAGGAGATAGCTTGAAGTATGATCCAGTAGAACGATTCCAGTTGGAATTGCGCACCTTGCTAACAACGCGAAGGTATGATAACTGCTATTCTACCTCCAATACCACCATGGTCGACTCCAGCTCTGCTGAGTCGCAGTCTCCGGCACGCTTCCAACATATGGCGGCCGAGTTGGAAGCAGTAGATCGTGACATTCACTACTACGTTTGCCAGTGGGGGATCGGTACCGATGTTGGAGACTGGGCTGCTGAAATTGGCAACACATGGCGAATCAGCAACGACATCTACAACGCGTGGCGCAGCATCTGGCGCATCACGAATCAAGTCGTGCCGTACTTTCGGCACACGACTGTTGGTGCGTTTGCAGACATGGACATGTTGATGTGAGTAAAGCTCCGTGCACTCATAGTTTCTCGCTGACAATCCAAGCGTCGGTCTCAATGCTCTATCAGAAGAGGAAGAGCGTTTTCACTTCGGGATGTGGGCAATCAATAAGTCGCCTCTTATCATCGGCGCCGCACTCGACCCAGAGCGCATTAGTCAGAGCTCTTTGGCCATCATGGAAAACAAAGAAGTTATTGCCATCAATCAAGATGCTCTTGCTCAGCAGGCAATGTTGGTCCGTCGCGACACTGAAGAAGAGTGGGATATATGGATGGGGAAGCTCTCGGGATCAAGAATGGTACTAGGAGTCGCGAACTGGAAGAATGACTCCCAAAGCGTAAACTTCGACCTCGCATCACTAGGTATAGCTTCGGTCGATGCGCGCGATGTTTGGGCTGCGAAGGACGCTGGTGCTTTGTCTGGCACTCAGACGGTAGATCTGGCTGGGCATGAACTGCGACTATGGATTCTATCTAACATTGTCGAAGCTGCTCCGCTCCAATCAGGCTCTTATAACTCTGCCACCAACGCTTCGCTCTCTGGACCAGCGCACGTGTTCTCGTGTGCGAGCGGAACATGCCTTCCCACGGGCTCAAAGATAGAGTACATCGATCGTAGCAGTAGCGTCATCTTCTCCAATGTCAGCGCTCCTTCCGCCGGTAAGAACCTCGTAGGGGTCGACTTCGTCAACTATGAATACGCCTTTACTACTGCTTGGGAATGGGGCGACAATACACGAAACATGACGATCGCGGTCAATGGCGCTGAGGCAAAGAGATGGGCCTTCCCACTCTCTGGCGGCGACTGGCAGGAAAGTTTGCGACTTCACATCGAGGTTGATGGGTTCGTTGAAGGCACAGAGAATATGGTTGAGTTCAGAGGCTATGGAGACTCATTTGCACCAGATCTTGTAGGTTTTGAAATTCTGAGCAGCACATAGACTACAATTCGTGGACAATCAGCTTCAATGCAGTCTGTTGGTAGTACCAGTATGCCATTCGCACAATAACACCATGTTTGTCTCACTCGCAACTGCTCTATGGCGTGCCGATCGTATGACTGTGCTTACCCATGCGTCTACAGGGCGAAAGCGTGGGGACCACCCCGCACGCGTCTACCCGATTAGCAACTGCGATCGCGGGTTAAAAGTCGCCGAACCTTCGTCATTCAACTCTTGCAACGCACAACCCTACTCCTAGCTCACAAAAGACAATCATGACGCTAGTCCCGCATACCTCAACTCTGCTAAAGACGGGCTGGACCTTCAAGCAAGGCGATCGCTCTTCTACTCACGCGTATTTACCGGCCCGCGATGTACCGACTGAAATCTACCGTGACCTTCTCAAGAACGAAAAGATCGCAGACCCTTTCAACGATCTCAACGAGCTTGCAGTACAATGGGTTGGCGACGAGACATGGACGTACCGCACCATCTTCGCTGCGCCTTCCGAATACGGGACTGCAAACACAGTCACCAGACTTCGTTTCCAAGGTCTGGATACCTTTGCTTCTGTCTATTTGAATGGGCATAAGGTCCTAGAGTCTGACAACATGTTTGTCGAGCATGAGGTCGACGTCTCAGGCAGACTTGAGTTGGACGAGAATGTCTTGGAAATCGTTTTCGAGTCAGCGCGCAAAAAGGGTCGCGAGCTAGTGGAACAGCACAAAGAGCACCGCTTCATCGTACATCAAACGGAAATCTCAAGAGGGCCTGTTCGCAAAGCGCAGTTCCATTGGGGATGGGACTGGGGTCCTGTCCTCATGGCATGCGGTCCTTGGAAGCCGGTTTCGATTGAGACATGGTCCTGCCAGCTTTCAAGCCCAGGGGTGCAGTATGAGCTGTCGCAAAATTTGAAATCGGCGGAGGTCAAAGTTAAGGTCGGTTGGGAAGGTGTTGTCGCTGCTATAGGTTTCACAATCCTCAAAAAGGACAGTCTCGAAGCTGTGGCAGAACAAAAGATTGACGTCAGCACCGATGATCAGTCGGGCCTCGCAGAAGCTACCATGGCCATCAATGACATTGAGCTGTGGTGGCCGCGAGGCTATGGTCAACAATCTCTCTACACCATCAAGATTCAGGCCTTTGCACCGGACCATCCGTCTCCGATTCATGACATCTCTCAACAGTTTGGCTTTCGCCGCGCCGAACTAATCACAGAGCCAGATTCGTACGGTACGTCGTTTTATTTCCGTATCAACGACATCGATATCTTTTGTGGAGGTTCATGCTGGATACCCGGCGACGCGTTTCTCACGCGCCCCTCCCCAAGGGATTCCCGTGCTTGGGCCAAGCTCTGTGCTGATGGCAACCAAACCATGCTCAGGATCTGGGGAGGTGGCATATACGAAGACGATGAACTATACAATGCCGCTGACGAATATGGTGTATTGATATGGCAGGATTTCATGTTCGCGTGTGCAAACTATCCAGCCTACCCGGAGTACTTGAAGAGTGTGGAACTGGAAGCGACACAAAATGTCAGACGTTTGAGAAACCATCCAAGTGTAGTGATATGGGCGGGCAACAACGAAGATTACCAGATCGTGGAGCGATACGGGCTGCAGTATGACCCTGACGATAAGGATCCAGACTCTTGGCTCAAGACCGACTTTCCAGCACGGTACATCTACGAATATCTTCTCCCAAACGTGGTGAAACAAGAATGTTCAAATGTACTGTATCACCCCAGTTCACCATTCGGAAACGGCAAGTCCACCGTCTTGAGAGTTGACCCTACAATTGGCGATATTCATCAGTGGAACGTTTGGCACGGTACTATGGAGCCCTATCAGCGATTGCCTGATCTGGGCGGACGATTTGTCTCTGAGTTCGGAATGGAGGCATATCCCCACGTATCTACTCTCGAATCATGCATCACCCGTAAAGAAGACCTCTACCCAGGCTCGATGGTGATGGACTTTCACAACAAAGCCATCGGTCATGAGCGACGGCTCATCAGCTACCTCGCTGAGAATTTCCGTATCAGGTACGATTTGGAGAACTTCGCTCATCTCACCCAGGTTATGCAATCAGATGCATTGACGTGGGCTTACAAGTCCTGGCGCCGTCAATGGAATACGCCTGGCGATCGCAAGTGCGGAGGTGTATTGGTATGGCAATTAAACGATTGCTGGCAGACTATGTCCTGGTCTGTTACAGACATTCATGGCGTCCCTAAACCAGCCTTCTACGCTATCAAGCGTACGATGCGCCCTATCACTATCGGTGTGCAGCGCAAGTACCAAAGCTGGACTATGCGACCAGCTGATGAACTGTGGCAGCGCGACACAGGACATATCGACATGCGAAAGTTATGGCAGGATGTCGAACACGATGTCTGGATTGCCAATAGTACCCTGCAAGAGGTTGACGGTGTTGTGACCGTACGCTATATCTCCATCAAGACAGGCGAGGAAATTGGCACGAGGGCTTCTGCTACAGTACAGGTCGCGGCCAACGGAATAACTAACGTCTTGGTTGACCATGTCGCCCAAATCAACCACGTACAACATCCAAATGAGCCTTTTGATTCATCGAAAGCCGATCCGTTCGTCATCCATGCGACGTTGAGTATCAATGGCGAGTATGCTGCCAGCGATATAGCCTGGCCAGAACCCATCAAGTATTTGTCTTTTAGCGATCCAGGTGTGCAGTTGCGCTACTCGGAAGACAAGAAGACTATTTCTGTCTCTGCTGCGAAGCCAGTCAAGGGCTTCGTCTTCGCCGAGAATCCACGTTCGCATCTAAGTGATAACGGGTTCGACCTAGTGCCTGGGGAAACGAGAGATGTCCAGGTGGAAGGTTTCCCAGCAACTGCTTTGACATGGAGATATATTGAAATGTAGCAAGGCATACCTGCTTCTTCGCGTGTTGTCTTAAGTAGTTAGTTACGCTGTACCCCAAATTCCATCCTCAGAGTCGCTTTCTTCATCTTCTGAATCCGCGGGTCTTTCTCCAACTTTCCAGAAAGCTGTCGGCCCAGCAGGACCATGTAAGTCGAAGTCCTTGTCGAACCAAGTTCCCACAACACCGCGTGGACAGCGCAGCCCGCCAACCTGAATACCATCACTGCGCCACCTCTCCTCACCGCTGTCGCAACGTCAGTAATACTCTGTCCAGGTCACAAGCAGTGTACTTTGTACTTACCCTTGGAATACCGAGATGGTCTCCCAGCGCACTTCACCCTCCTGTGTCAACCGAACAGTACCGCGGATACCAGAGTTGGCATTAGGATCCCAGAGAGCATCTACGGACTTGGCTACACCCTTGAAGTGCACAACTGGCAAGGTAGGGTTATCGAAGGGCCCTGGTGCTGTGACGTCTGTGACACGCAGATCCATGACGATATGTCTAATAGCTTCATCGGTATCGAGTGCGCCGCGCGGCTCGTCGGAGGGCACTTTCATCGCATCAGAGCTGAAGTTGTAATTGTACAAGTCATTGTAGTCGAGAAAGCAGACGATCTAGATGTAATTAGAGAAATGGTTGAACTCCTAGTTGGGCGAGAACCTACACGCGCCCAAATGCCTTCTGCTCCGTACGGGTCCTTCATCCTGAGCGGAATGTCTGGTTGCTGTATGATTTCCGTATAGTTCGATACTTCATGGCCTATACGACCATTCGCTACTGGAATAACGCCATCAAGGGGACCGAACCATGGCGGTCGCAGACGATTTGAGACAGCATGAGCACAGAAGCAGGAGTTGTGTCCGATGACTATCATGATGCTTTCGATCATCTCCCAGTCTACTCGCCAGGTTCCATCATTGCGGAAAGGACCCCACTCGTTTTTATCGGTATAGTTCCGTAGGTCGTACACTCGCGATCTGGCTAATGTATTCATCGATAGATCAATCTTTCCGGCGTTGGATGGAGGGAAGCCGAACAGACTGTGTAATCTTGCGCTCAACTGTCGACTTTCTTCGTCCTCGGCTGATTTCCGTTTTGCTGACCTAGTGCGACCAAAGATCGAAGAACGGCACAGAAAGGCGTTATGGTTCTGTTCGATATGTTGAAACAGGTCTGTCACGAATCGTTGGTTGCGAGTGATGCCGTACTCATCCCGCGCCATAGTGGCTATAAGTTCACTGACAGTGGTTGCAACGAATGTAAACTCGTCTTTCTAATGATTCTTAGCAGTTTTCGACGATAACACCAGTGTGGGTATACCTTGAGATCATTGTTGGCTGACTCCAGCACCTTTTGACACCTCACCACTCTCTGCAATGCTCCTACCCATTCCGGCTCGGGATCGGTCGGTCTTCGCCTTCGAGGGTCGTCCTGTCACAACGTCAAAATCCATGACTCGCCACACCAGCAGATAGCCAACCATACAAAATGCTTGAGGTATAGGGTCTTGTAGAGCGGTTTGTTCTTCTTGAGGAACTCATTGAAACCTTTGCTGGTTTGCGCACATGCAGCAAGATCAGCAGGATGTAGTTCCTCCAAGATCCTGATCAGCACGTCGTAACACAGGTCCAACAATTCAGTCATAGCTGCCCTTGCGAGGTATAGACCGTCGGAAGCAGTTGTATATCAAGCTGCTGAGCGGAGACAAATAAGGGTCCAAGTGGTGACGATGTGGGGTTCGGAGATAGAGGCCTAAATCCGAGTGCCTGGCTGGCACGACTTTAACGGTCTTTGGCCCACCGGTACTCTACGCTTCTAACAACTCCTAGATAAATGCATGTACAATAGGAAAGATGTTTGTGTATCGCGTAAGAAGTCGCCGCCCTGGACGACAAACTGAGCAAACGTCACATCGGCCATTAGCGCGTCTTTTAGTCAGCAGGGCAATTGTGCCGAAGTCCACCAGCTTCTACGACTTTTTTACCATCGTGTTACGCATCACGACCGCGCATTGCACCAACGTTGATTCGAGCGATATCCATAGCTATTTGCGCCGCCAAAAGATTCATTACGGGCGCTCGGCCAGCTCTCGTTGCTGCTCATACGAATAACTGGAGCCTTCTCGCGTTGGCTCGATGTCGAAATGCGCGCTAAGACGCGAACCCGCCCGGGATTGTGATTAGCAAGCCAACCAGCGCACAGGCCTTCAACACAAGTTGCCCTATCTCCACCTCACCTGCTCTGCTTGCAAGCTCAACGATCGTAATGGTAGAAAGGCACGATGCAGAGAAGACTTGATTGAACTTGAAAACAATGCATTTGGGGTATCGAGCTAAAAGAAACTACCACTCTAAACGGTCGTCGCACGTCAATCTTACGTCCCACCGGTCATCTCCCTTCCATACTTCGCCACCCTTGTTGGTCTTTGCAACTATCCGCCTAAGATCGCTAATCATTCCACCAGGTCCTGAAGCAAATACTTCAGTGCCTCCTCGTACGGTGCCAGCAACAAAGTCTGTCACGAGAGCGTCAAGGTCAGGTCTGGCCTGGATGTGGTTAAGACCCAATTCCGACTTTGACACGCCGTGAACAGACAAGGCTGAAGATGCATCAGCAGACGAAGAGTCGGAGCTTGAGGCAGGGTTGATCTCCTTGGAGCATTCGTTGGGCGCTGCCTTCTCTGAAACAGTAAGATCAAGGTTGGCTTCTTCCGCGGCGCGGGTAACGTAAATGTGAATACCAGTTCGCAGGTTTCGGCATTTTCGCTTGAGGGTAGAGAGTTCAGGGCCAACCCAGTCAATATCGCTTCTTCGGCGTATACTCCAGATGAGCGTCATGTGGCGATCAGGCGACTGTGAGCTTGAAGCGAGGTCGAGTAGCACGGGAAGAACGTATGCGATACCAGTACCACCAGCGATGCACAGAATGTTGGAGCTGGAAGCGAGGCCACGCATGGTACGCTCGCCGTAGGGTCCAGTCATGACTACGTTGAGACGAGCATCAGCCATCAAGCTCTCATGAGACTCTTGGTGGCTCGCCATATTGGCAATGCGCTTCATAGAAAGGTCTGCGATTTTTTTTGTTTCACCACCGCGGGCGCGGAAGATATAAGAATGCCTCTGAGCGTCAGCACCGAAAACCGGACGGCTGATTGGGGTGAATGGATGAGATTGCCAGATGGAGCTTTCGGGGAACGTGAGGTAGAAGTGCTGACCGACAGCCCAGGCATCCTGAGGGTGGTCAAAATCCAAACGAACTACATCGCCATTGACATCGTCCTTGAAAAGCGCAATGTTCGCGGAAGCAGCACGGAAACCCATGTGTCCGGATGGCAAAAAGTTGTAGTGGAGCAGAGCTGTCCTAGCAAGCCTGATGGCGCGATCGATGCCCCAAACGAGAAGTCCTGGTAGAAGGAAGACCTTCAGTTGCTCCCAGTGGCCCCAGCAGGCGCCTATGTACACCATGGCGAGAACGTAGTGAGCCTTGCGGAAGAATTCGTAGCCCGTGATTCGGATGGCCCATGGGGTAGAAAGCAGGACAAGAATAGTCAAGAGGATCATCGCGACTAGTCCCCAGATCATGTACTCTTGGACGATCCATTCCGCACCGACAGTTGGTTGGGGCTGGTACAGGCGAAGCTCAATGACACACCAGCCAATAGTATGAAGAGCTGATTGGGCGAAAATGATGTATCCAAGCCAACGGTGGAGAAAGTTGAAACTCTGATATGGCAGACCAGTTACCAGCGACAGAATAGACTCGCGCGTCGAAAGCATGACGGAGAGAGGTGTAAGAGCATATGCGATGACACCAACACGGTCTGACCACGGTCCGAGACTGCTACGTGTGTTGTAGACGCCGGGCATCTTCTTGACAGGCGTAATCCATTTCTTGTAAACGATGCCAATGAACGAGAAAAGAGTCAGGTAACCAGTCAAGACTACCAGAGTGAGGACCTGTGTGCGTGTCACACGTCCAAAGATCGGTCGGGCTGCGTCGGGCAGGAGATATTGTCGTGCGTATGATGGAATCGCTCGTTGGAGTCGCTCGAATGCGCTGCGTCTTTGTGGTATCCCTTCTCCTGCTTCTGCTGGTAATTGCACGCCTGATGGCTGCGAGCGCGCGAAATGTCGGCCGACGCCCCACACCAAGAGGATCGCGCCAATGGTCGCCCATATGATTCCGGTGTAATACATGCCAATGTCATGGCTGCGATAGACAACGTCGAGGTATTCGCAAGAACCAGGGTCGCTGGTGCAAGGTACAAGGCGATCTGCGTAACCCCAATGCGGCTCGACAGCGCTCGCCTCAGAGTAATTCTGGATGTGGACACGCGGGACGAGCATTTTGGAGTCCATGGCCGATAAGTCGCTGGTTAGCAGACAAAACGACTGGGCAAAAGATTTAATGGACGATGCGTGCTACATGTCTCGAATCGGTGCGCGGACCGCATATCTATATGAACTACCGCAGGCGAACTGTAACACACCGGAAACATGGTGAGCACGTTTCGTAAAAAGATGGGCCAAGGATTCGAGAAGTGGGCTGCGAAGCTTAGGCGGGTCTTTAAGCGGCTCCCGCACTCTTGGATCGATTGAAGAGGCTAGTGCGAGAGTGTTTGAGCAAGTTCCCCCATAATTTCCGGCGAGTTTGCCGGCATGCCTGCGCGGGCCAGACTGCAGTGAGACGGTAACTCGATCCTACATATCTATGTCGCGGTATCTATAGCCGCAGGGTCCAGTTTGACGGTTGTTATATCATTTTTTGACATACCCTCTTCCACGGTTCAGTTCCTGACAGACGTCGCTCCAAACTTTACGAACCAACCTCGGAACACGAACAACGCCGCCCATCATGCACGGAATGTCAGGAATGTCCGGAATGTCCTCGAGTAACAGCACCTGCGTCACAGAGGTCTGCAATTCACATCGCCGCGATATAACATCATCACTGACGTTTCTTAGATGCTATGGAACTGGCGTGTAGTAGACGCATGCTTCCTTTCCGAATCATGGCACGTGACGAACAACGCCATGATGGCCGCAAGCTGCATCGGCGCTGCTCTCCTAGTCGTTACTCTTGAATTCCTGCGACGAGTCAGCACCGAATACGATGCCTTTCTCCTTCGCCAATTCCAACGACAACTCAACGCACAGCAAGCTGCGCTCGCCGCTGCCACGCCCGCCAACTGCTGCGACGGCCCCACCTCGACTCTCGGAACACAACACGCCACCTTCCGTGCCTCGGCACTACAACAACTTGTTCGCGCCTCGTTACATGGCTTGATTCTCGGTCTCGCGTACATCATCATGTTGTTGGTTATGCACTTCAACGGATACATCTTCATCTCGATCATACTAGGAGCTGTTTTGGGCAAGTTCTTGTGCGACTGGATGGTGGTTAGGATACCATACGGCCAGGTCAGCGAGAAAGATGACAGACGTTCTTCGATCGAGGCGGCAGGGCCGACCGGTTGTTGTGCGTAGATGGTGCTGGATGGAACGACTGCGCTGGATTTTGAACGATTAGATACCCTATTATGACTGCGATATTGCGAATGAATTTAGTATTAACCTTGTACTGTGGCATCTGACTAAGAAGGCGATATTTCCATTTTACAAATGATGGCAACACCAGAAACCTTGAATTGCAAAATGTTGTGACAAGCCAGCATGTGCTTGTACGCAACAGCAAGCAGATAACTATTCCTGCGGGAAGAACATAGATCGCTCTTGATGGTATGCCAACAGCCAGGTAACAGCACCGCTACAATGTCAACTCGACCAATCGGAGACGCTCCGTATAAGTAACTCACATGCAGAGTAACTCCGTGGGAAGTGACATCCATGTCTCATGACAACGATGGTGTTACCAACCAATGCCAACATGTTGACGGCATATTGACCCCACGTCATTCTCGGTCCTATTGTCACAAAAGCAATATCTTGCACCTTCATATTTCTACCGGTGGTCTTGTTTTCCAAGCGCTTTGCGCGCGCATAAAGTAAACGTGACCCCGTATATTGCGAGAGTGGGGTTTAGCGGCCCAACCTCTCTCCACAGTGATACCGTTGAGCGTTCTTTTGCGCAAGTTATGGCTACAAGCCAAGCATGGCCATGGAGTCTGGACCAGAAGTCCTGTGTGAAAGAACCACACATGGGGCGAAGAGTGACTAGTGGTCATTTTACAGCTAGGATCCGTCCTTGGTGCAGAGCATTTGCGCAGATTGTGGCTACAAGCTAAGAAGAACCTTGGAAGCCGCGAACTGGAGTCGATAACGGTGGCAAACATTGAGTTATGAGGCGCCCTTCTTCCCGCTACGATACGTTCTCTCATGATGCCAGTGGGCGAGTAATGTTGGAGAGCAATGTCAGCATGAGTTGGTCATGTTGCGCATTACAGTAACGGGCTTATGTTTCTTCAGGTGACCTCAGAACCCTTCTCGCTACGCTCTACCGTGGTATGTATCTGTGGCTGAACAGAATGCTATACGTTGTCATCCGTTGGGATCTGGAGATGTACTGATGCTTTCACTTCACCCGAGCAGACAATCAATCCGCTGTATCTCCGTGACACCGTTTTCGAAGCTTCCTTACATTGCTTCATCCGTCGTGTACGTGTTATAGACGGCCATCAACACGATAGTCTTTACTAACCAGAACGCACTGAATTCGACATCTCCGGAAGGATGAGCACCATCGCAGTGCTCTTGGATGTTACCTCGATATTTCTATAGATGGCTCGACAGACAAACGAATATGCAGGTTAAGGCGTAAAGCGCTCTTAACATCTGAGATTAGTGTGCGAAACTGGTGATCGATGAGTCTTGTACTTGTCGAGGAGGTGAGCTCCAGACTTTCGCTCACCTTACGATGTTGCCTTGTCAACACTTACCAGCTGCCTACTACCCTAACTCTCTTTCCTCGTATCCCCAATCTCTACCAACTTCGTACATTCCAAGATGGGTATGGCGACTGGGTTTAAGAGTCCCGCTGCGCTAGAAGAATGCGCTCATGGTGAGAAGCTGGTTGGAAGGTAAGAGCTGTCGCAGAAGATATCAAAAGGCTATCACTAATTGCACCTATTTACAGTCCGGCGGATAGAGGAGTCTGTATCATCAGAATCGGGCATTCAGACGACCCTACCCACAAGAAAGAGTCACTCCGGTCAGTCCACATAGCGCTGATGGAAAGTGAGTGCGATGAATTCAAGTGGCAAAATTCTCGCACATACGATCTTGGGCCTGAACATCCCCTCGAGATCTTCGACTTGCTCATTCAGTGGTTGTATACTCGAAAATACCAGGAAAAGGAAGGTCTCACGTGGTCGTTCGACAGGAGCCTGACTTTGCTATCCGCTCCTCTGGTGATCGACCTTCCGCCTGAACTTCCAGTAGACTGGCCCATCAAGGCAGCCGTTGCCAGCTGGGAACTTGGCGCCACCCTACGTGCGAAGAACTTCCAGAACTATGCCATCAAGCGTCTCTTTAAAGCTTTCTCTAGACCTCTCTCGCAACCGCTGACGCCAGCACTGCTAGCCTATATCTTCCAGCTCCACAAGGAGAGCTTTGCGGAAGGCTCATCGCAGCTGCAACAACTTCTCCAGGATGTTTTCGTTCGCAACTGGGGGGATGCCACCATCATCGACCACACGGATCGAGAACGATGGTCATTCTTCCTCGGCTTGTGCCCTAGCTTTCGCGAGGACTTCGTCTCCGCAACGAAGCACTCGCCGGAGAAGAGGCAGAGGGAGAAGCTGGACTTTGCGAAGTATCTTATTCACTAGGATACCAGAGAAGGAGACGGAGAGGTGGATTGAGAAAGGTCAAGTGAGCGTATGGGGCTCATAGGCAGATTTGAGACGCTAGACAGGAGCTGTCTCTACAAGCCAAGCACATTGCTGAATGTAAACTATCAAGGAGATCTCAAGAACGACAAGTGAGGTATGAAGCGCAAACCGGCTCTCCAGTTTGCAAACTTGCCTAAGCGGTTTCTTGGAAGCTCCACAGTTCCACCTGATCGTCAAGACTCACCCACTCAAGAAGCTTACACCTCATACTGCATGGCGCTTGACATCAGCGGTGATCCCAAGGTGTACGCCTTGGTACTTGCGGCCCGATACATAACGTTGGTGTACTCTGGAGTACAGATGTCGTGGTAATTGCATGCGGAAGCTACACGATGCAGGGGAAGCAACAAATGAACTGCCAGAGGAACACAAGAAGCACACACTACTCTTAGCACTGTGTACACGTCAATGCAGACGTACGCATTCAATTACAGGTGACAAGAAAGCTACGCGCGCATGTCTGGATCAGTCCGACGGACCGCCACTGGCATGACTCATGTAGGATGGGGTTGCACTGTACCTGGACATCGACTTGCGGTACATTCATCCTCTTGTGCTTCGCGGTACCGCGCGGCGACGCATCACATCTAATTCAGTCCCGAGGGCGATGGATGCGTGGGTCCAAAGAGGCCTTTTCATATTGTCGGGACCCAAGGAAGAAGTATCAGCCGCCGTTAGCAGTCTCGGACGAGCAACCCCGAATCACAACCCCACTTGTGCCAAGATGCCAGACCCTTGAATCCGTTCATCGCAGCAGCAGTGTCGATTAGATGCGATTGGATGCAGATGAAGGTAGGAACAAAATGCCTGCAAAGCCCAGCTTCTCGAAGACATTTTATCCCCTTTGTACCTTTTCTTCCGCTCCTTCAACCCACTTCGCTGTTTCTGTATCTGTCGTCCCGCCACCACGGTACGAGTATGGAGCAAATTCTGCAGAAACCCCGAAGAGCTCCACCAAGTATTCGGCGGCTATCGAGTGTTGGGAGCACCATCGGCAGTTCCGTGGTCGCAAGCTAACAGGCCATTATTGCCCTCGGTACCCCCGCCTTACGAAGGCATGACGGAGCAGAGCGTGATGGTGCGAGTAGGCGTCGTGGCTTGCGGGTTTTGATCAGATAATGATTAGATCGAAAATTTTCATCTGATAACCCACGCGTCACGCCACCGCAGACTGTCATTGGCTCTAGATGGCCGCTGATGCCGGCTGATTATCGAGATAAGATTTGGAGGCCGTCTGGATCATGCTTGAAAATGCTTAATCCCGGGGGTTTAACTGCATCTGGAAAAGAACAAGCTTTGGTGCATGGTACTAGCCGGGCAGGTGCACCGTGATATTCACCACCATTTCCGTTTTGACGGTCCACACGAACAATTTACCCACCCAGCTGCGAGGGAGCCGACAACCGGGTGCGTCTTGACAATGCCCTGCAGTGGAGCCGCGTGGATCGGCGTTTTCTGTATATGAACCTGTACCTCGTGCGGCATCTTGTCTTATCAATCTCTTCATCTCCAACCATCACAACCCTCGCTTTTGGTGTGCAACAACGCCTACGATTGCCAAGATGGGTTTCAACTTCAAGGGATTGACCAGCAGTGCATTGGTCTCTGGCAGCGCTGCTTCTGCCAATGCTGACAACAAAGACATTGCCGACGTGCCCGCTTCCTACCAAGGTCACACCAGCATGGACGTTGCTCGCCCCGATGAGAAGGTCGGCAGCCCGAGGGAGTCTGCGTTGAGCAGAGAGTCCGATGAAGAGCTGAACAAGGTTGATACCACTGCTGAGATTGGTGTGCAACAAGTTCAGGCGGCTTCAATGATCTGGAAGAAGCGTGACTTGATTCTAGCGTACATTGCGTAAGTGGACGATCTCTCGATACTCAAGATAGGACTAACAATCTCCAGGATGTGGTTCATTCAGTTCTTCACTGCCTACGCATCCAGCACTTCGAGCACCCTCTCTCCCTACGTCACCAGCGACTTCCAGCAACACTCTCTGACCGCTTTGACTACCGTCATCTCCTCCATTGTTGGTGGTATCTGGAAGCTCCCGTATGCCAAGATCCTTAACATCTGGGGCCGACCTTTCGGTCTCGCTCTGGGTGTAGCCATCTACGTCGTCGGTCTCATCCTGATGGCGAGCTGTAACAACGTCAAGGCCTACTGTGCGGCACAGACCTTCTTCTACGTTGGTTCCAACAGCATCGACTTCTTCATCACCGTCTTCATCGCCGATACTTCCAAGTTGAAGAACCGAGCCCTGTTCATCTCCTATGCGTCCTCTCCGTGGCTCATTACCACCTGGATCTACGGATACGGCATCAAGGGCATTACGGCTAATGGCGGCATCGGCTGGCGATGGGCTTTTGGTATCTTTGCCATCATCGCCCCCATCGTCACCTCGCCTCTTATCATTCTGTTTGTTGTCTACGAAGGCAAGGCGCGCAAGCAGGGTCTCATCGCACCACGCCCCAGCCGCGGTAACTTTATCCAAACCCTTACCTACTACCTTCGCGAATTCGATGCCGTCGGTCTTCTGCTCTTGGCCGCTGGACTCTCGCTCTTCCTCCTAGCCTTCAACATCTACTCATACCAGGCCGAGCAGTGGAAGTCGCCTCTCATCATCTGCTTCATCGTATTCGGCGCACTCCTAGTTGTTGCATTCGGTCTGTGGGAGAAGTGGGGTGCCCCGGTCACCTTCATTCCATGGCCACTACTAAAGAACCGAACCGTCATCTTTACGTACACCATGGCTGGTTCGTTGTACGTTGGCTGGTACTGCTGGGACTCATACTTCTACTCTCTTCTCGTCGTCTTGTTCGATCAGAGTGAGGTACACGCCACATGGATCGCCAACATCTACACCATGGGCAGCTGCTTCATTTGCATCATCTACGGAATCGTGCTACGTTACTACGGAAAGCTCAAGGTCTTTTCGTTCTTCTTCGGTGTACCTCTTACCATGCTCGGCGTTGGTCTCATGATCAAGTTCCGTCAACCCGACCAGAATATTGGCTACATTGTCATGTGCATGATCTTCATCGCTTTTGGCGGTGGTGTCCTGGTTACCTCCGAGCAAACCACTCTCATGGCCGTATCCAAGCAGCAAGACTTCCCTGCTCTCCTCGCCGTGGAATCTATGATCATTTCCATCGGAAGCGCTATCGGCTCTACCGTTGCAGGTGCCATCTGGACCGGTGTCTTCCCAGCTCGCCTTGCAGCTAACCTGCCCGCGAGCGCCTTGCCAGACCTTGCCAGTATCTACGGCAGCTTCAAGGTTCAGGACAGCTACCCTGTTGGAAGCCCGACTCGTGATGCCATCAACCTCAGCTACGGTCAGACACAAAAGTACATGCTTATCGCCGCTGTGTGCGTCTACTGCATCACTCTTTTCAGCACTGCCTGCTGGCAGAATGTCGATGTCAGGACCATGAAGCAGAGGACCATTGGTCTTTTGTAGTTTTTGTTTGTGTTTCACACGAGTTACATGCATTGCATTGGCGGCGCTTTGTTATATTGCTATTTCTTGATCCTCTCGGTCAAAAGCCTATCACGAGCAGGTAACCTTTGTATATAATGACGATGACGGCCTGATAACCATGAGAAATCAATGTTCAATGTTCAATGTTCAGTTTTCAAATTTACATGTCTATCTTGTGATGAATTCAATACGCGATGTATATCAATGCTTCGTTGTATGCTCCCTACTCCTTGCTTGGGGTATCCAAAATGCTAGGCAACGAGGCTGTATGGTACAAGCACTCGTGAAGAAGAGTATTGCAATGGAATAATCATATCTACAAGAACACAGCTACGGTCAAAGCCAGCGCAGTCAGGTACCCGAGAGTAGCAGTCAGCGAACTAGCAGCACCTGTAGCGGTAGTGGTTGCTTGTGCGCTCTTCTCGTTTCCGTCAGTTGTCGTTGCAATAGGCGAGGGGGTGGCGGATCCGGATGGCGTGGCTTGGGGTCTCGCCGCCACACTTGTCGAGGAAGAAGAAGCGCTGATTACGGGCTTGCTGGGTTTCGCACTCACATCACCGCTTGCCTTGGCCATGCCAACTACCCACTTGATCACTTCCGGGTTGTGTTGGACGAAATAGTTCAGGTGCTCGTTTACATCCTGGGGCTCGGAACCGACGGCGCAGATTGGGTCGCCGTAGTGGCAGTAGTCCAGGAAGACGTCGGAGTATTGCTGAAGGCCTTCAAGGTGTTCGGGGCTGCGCGCGCTGGTGCCGTCGTAGTCTACGCCGCGACCGACAGTGAAATTCTGGTCTTTGGAACGAACAACAGCGCCAAAGGTTACGGCTGCGACGACTGTAGTTGGAGGGTTAGTAAACCGGTGTAGAGCGTGGCTTGTTATTGACAAGGATACGTACCATTAGAGCCGGGAGCCGACGTAGCGTCTAGAGCCGGGTTCATGTCTTGCTCACATGCGAAGACAGAACCTCCTCCTCCACCAAGCATGTCCTGTGCCACAGATCCTCCCTGCGAGTAACCCAACACAATCAACTTGCTATCAGGGCATTTTTCGCTGTACGCCTTCATCTGCGCCTGTCCGCTCTTCGCACCCTTGCCCGCAGAATCACACCAAACGCCTTGTCCCCACGCTGTGCTCTTCGCTGGGTACTCGACATCCTCGTAACCACACTCTTCTGATCCTCCAATTGCTGCGCAAATCTCCGAGGTGAGGTTGCCTAGACGGCCCGGGTAGGGCTCATCGGAGCCACGGGAGATGAAGACGTGGAAAGGCTTGCAGTCGTCCGAGTGGTATGCGAGAATTTCCGTGGAGTTGCAGTATATGCCTGGCGAGGGTGCGTCGCAGCGTTCTTGAGCGAGCACAAGGCTGGCACCCAGTGTAGTGAAGAGGAGGGGGATTTGCGAGACCCTCATATTAGCGTAATTATAAAGTTTGGGTATAACGAGTGACTAATGTAAGTTGCCCTGCGTGAAAAGAAAGGTAGTAGGCGTCTGGTACCAGAACGCGCAATTAGTAGTAAGTAGGAACCTCAGAGCCGCAGCAGAAGAGACGCAGGGCACAAAGAGATATACAAGATAACGAAAGGTCAGCCCTGGAAAACGCTGACTGCCACCAGGATCACGAAGCTCATAGGCGATCGACCCCCATGATGTAAAAGCACGGCCCCCACAGACATCATGCATGCGCCGCAAGCTTGATTTCGCATCCTTTGAATGGGGGTGATTCGATATAGAGGGCAGCGTTTCCAGTTTCGACGAGAAAGGTCGATTCCGCCCCGTCGGCTAGCCTAAGCCGGTAAGACCAACGGCGCCAACGCGGATTCCGGCACTGAGCCAAGCCGCCTGTGCCACAGAAAGCCACAGGAAGCGGCCTGTCTGCAGGAACAAATCTCGACTCATTCCTTGGGGCTTGCGCGTTCCCGTCATCGCTGCGGCGTTGGCGTCGAAAAAGGGGGCGGCTTCAGGCATCGTTCTGGAGGCTTTGTGCCTTGATTACTATACCGCCGATGATGCCGCAGTGCAAGCAGGGCTGCCATAGCTAACACGCGACATCTTTCCTATCTATTCTGAACGCCACACCTGTTGTGTGGCACCGAGTTTACGAGGGAAGCTTGACTGGAACGTGCGATCGATCCGTACCGCAACACGAACGACGCAAATGCTGGGCGCCTTACGATGCCCACGGAGTAAATTTGTTTGGATGTTCGAGACCTGTGGTGCCTGAGTCGACGTTGTTCTGGCTGGCCCATGCCCACTTTTTTTCTTCTGGAGACTCCACATGCATCCCTCTAACAACCTTCCGTTTTCCGACGCAGCATCTTCACCCCATACATTGGCGTGTTGATTTCAAGAGCCCCTGGATGTGTCCAAGTGCTCGAGTGCCGACGGTTCCGTATTTGCCAGACTTGTTGGCGGAGACGCGCGTATGATGAGCGAGACTGCCACCTACCTCTGGCTCTTCATTTCTCCCTTGCGTTGCCATTTTACTGACATCGAACGTGCATTCCAGACGCATACGTCCTCACAGATAGTTAGGAGAATATATGAGGAAATTAGGCGAGACTGGTGGTGCCCAAGGCAGGAACGTGGCGGATCCCGATGGCGATACCCGCCTACCCGGCTTGACTGAGGCAGCAAGTGCGTCCCCTGACATCCCCGTATTTCAACTTCTGCTCTGTCAATCTGCTCCATGCCGTCTCTTCCCATCTTCCCCGCGTCTTGCTGTGGCATCCGAAATGCTCTCGTCACTAACATCACTGGTGTGTGAATCTGTGACACAGCATATCTTCTCTTTCACCATCTCCTCTTTACGTAAGATCTCACAGTTTCATCTTCACTTTCACCTCGTTTCGATTAATGTCACGCATTTCCTCATGTAAATTCAGTCATTTCGCGGTGCTCAGTCTAATCACCCAGAGTGTGTTGCACTGTGCATACAGCTAACGTCAGACGAACATGGTGCGAAGGGCTGTCGAGGAGACTACCATCCATCATTGACTATACAGAGCATTGAGCATGCTGTATATAGGTATAGTATACATACAGCTCTTTCGAGAAAACGTGACGATAGTGAGTCACTGTACTGGGTAGGAGGTTATTCTTTATTGGAAAGTCTGGGACAAAGCGTTAATTCCACCATAGTGAAAGATCGCGCAAGCACGACGATACATAGTCAGGAGACCCATCTCCCAGCCTTCTTGGGCTTCTGCCTCGTCTTATGACCCACCTGTTCGCGCACACGGGCTTTTCCGCTGCTGCTTCTGGCGTTTCACTGCACTATATACCAAAATTTCGTCATATTCTTCCCCATTCGCTAATATTCGCTTTCATTGACGACTCCAAGATCCCGACCATTACGTTCTGCCAAGTGCTGCCTTCCTTCTCTCTTCTGTTATAACCCAATCCTTCCCACACTTCTAACCAAATCTCTTCCACGCGAACTTCCTCAACTGCAATCAACTCGCAATCCTGATTCACCGGCTCACGATCCAGATTGATTAACAGTTACACTACGACTTTTCAGTCTTCAAGTCGTTCTCAAGACCAATATTTGCCTACACTTTATTCAAACTAACCACACCCACTGACAAGTCAAAATCGCATCATGGCGCCCATCCGCGAGACTTTTCGCAACACGGCGAACCGTGTAGTGGATGTACTGAAGCAGAAGGCTTACGTCCATTATCAACACGGATGCCTGAAGCTCGAGACTGATGCTCGCGTCCTCAAGGTTTGTCTTTCCCTCCAGCTATCACTCAGACAGCATCTAACCGTTCGCAAAGAAATCCATTGAGAGCACTGCCCCTTATCTGGTTCTGACTGGCCTGAGCAACGTCTGTGCTAGCTCCAGTCGTACTCCACTACCACCGCCAAGCAAGGTTCGTGACTTGACTCTCACGAATGGACGTACAGCGACTAACCCCTAGCAGAAGCAGCAGACTTCTCGCACCTCAACCACAGGACGTATCGAGAAGCCCAAGCGTCATGGCTCTCCCGCAGAGCGAGATTTCCGGTGGTATGATATGAAGATGAAGAGGGAGGCTTCCGAGATGGCGCGCGAGAAAGAGATCCGCCTCCGAGAGGAGCAGTTGAAGATGGCGGAAGAGAAGAAACGACAGAAAGAGCTTCGCGCTTCATCTGATCAGTGGGCGGTGGATCGTCATATGAGTATCAAGGCATCCCGCTCCCAGTTGACGCCGCCACCACCGCCGCCATATGTGCCCGAAAAGTCACCCTACAGCGACGAATTCTACGCGAATCAGACCCCTGAGGAGCGTCGCAAGTTCATCCACGAGAGATTGACCAATATCCTTGGCGAGGAGAAGATGAAGGCTCCGATCCTTCCTTCTGGTCACAACCCTATAGAACCCGTCATTGCTGAGCATAACAAGCGTGTAGCCACTGAAAGTATCATCGATGCGTTCGAGTCTCGACGTGCTGAGATTCAACGCCGCGTTGATGAGCAGATGTGGATGGCTCATCAAGCACACAAGGCTTATGTGAGGACAGAGGTTCTCTGGAATCACTACCACAACATCTACCAGGGGCGCATTAACAGACTTGCCATGTACACTGGCGAGATGGGCGACAACATCGATCTCTTAGACAACGCCATCGCAAACAACGATGTGTGGGAGGTGGCCAACACCATTCAATTCTTGACCCAGCAGATCTTTGATCCCGTCCTCGGCCTGCTACAAGAGTGCGACAACGAGATTCCACTGGCTGTAGACGATGCCCAGAAGCTCAAGGCTATTTGGCCTCTGGCGCGTCTCGAGGAGGTCTACGGGTATCTGGTGAGCAAGGCTGATGGTCTCGAGCCCCAGGTTGTCTTCATGGCTCAGCTTATTGAGGCCATCGCCCATCGGATCAAGAATCCGACACCGCTTGTGAACCCTCTTGAGCAAGAGCAGCAACCTACCAACAACTTTTGCGCCAATCACAGCTATACGAACACCAATACAGCGGCAAGCTCTAACCCTATTTCTGACAATGGAGCTTCTATATTAGGTGCGGCTCCTGCTGCTCCTGAAGGAGGATTTTCGATCCGTGGCAGAGCGTCTACATCCGGTGTTGATCCGGATGCCTACGTCCCCGGCGCTGCCACTTCCGCACCCGCAGGCTCTGGCATATCTAAGCTGACTGCTGCAACCCTCGCAAAAGCTGCTGACAATCAGCTGGCCTGTTATCCCGCTGGTTCCGAAATCCCGTCCATTACCGTTGAGCCAGTAGACAGTGTCGCGCGGCAAAACGTCATCCATTACATTTCGACCGACAATATGGTCCTCGAAACAGAGATCCAGGACATGTTCCGCAGCAACGAGATCAAGAGCAATCATCGCCGTGCAGTCAAGGAGTGTATTGATGGTCTGTTGAATGCCGCGAACGGTGAAGAGAGTATTCTCGGCTCTATGGATGCCGGACACTACCGCTCACAGATCGAGAAGTGTGTCACAAGGATTGACGCTCTTCCCCTGAAGATTCGTCAGAACAAGGATACTCAAGCTCTCAAGAAGCTTTGTGGCCGTGCGCTGAAGATCTGGGCGATTCATGATTAGAATGAGAGTTTGGACATCTTTTGAGACTGACTCACGTCTCATCATGCATCATAACACACGCAACATGAAGAGACAAGGACAGAACTCCAAGGACGGCGACATATCAGACACGAAAGTCGCTTTTCTCGCGAGCCTACAACACAACACCCCCGCACCACGACACCACGACACCACGACACTCACTGTAAACGGAGGCCATCTTTGACGTGGACTCAAGCTTCCTTCACAAATTCACGCCGTTACGACACCATGGCTCACGATACTACGACCACGACCACCTCTTCCTTTCCATCACACAGGAGAAATACGATCAATCTTACGGTGTTTTCAGCGAGCAAGCGAGCGAGTTTTGCCGTTTTTGTCATTTCGTGGTTTTACTTGTTGAGCACAAATGCTCGACCCTGCTCTCTCATCACGAGATATCAAAGTTTCTCGTGATGCGTTTGCAGTACGTACTACCAGCTAGCGAGTCCTTCTCTTTGTTGATTCCAATGATACCCTTTCGTCGAGCACATTTGCTCGGCTTTGTATAATGTCCTCTTCAGCGTTGATGATTTCCGCTAATGTCTATCGTCATCCAATAGTCAAGACTCCTACTACATACGACAAGGATGTATGTTTCTAGAGTCAAACCTTTCATAGTAATGAAAACTTCATAATGGATGAACGAATCTTTGTGTGCTTGAGAAAAAACGCCGCGTAGATGAAGGTCTTACGGTGGTGGCTGTATCACATGTCAGAGGTTTGCGATACCCTGCGATACTCTGCAATATAACTCACTCCGACCTCTGCATCGCACGAATTTAATCTTCTGTAATGATCATTCAGTTTCATATTAGCTACACGATATTTTGATGCGTACAAGAAGATATGAATGTGATGAGATCAAGGAGAAACAGTGAAATTGGTGGCTGCATGGGAACATGCTGAAAACGCGCTAGTGGCCCCGGATCCCGGTCGCGTTCCGAAGTAGCTTGGGGGAGCGCCATCCTTCTTCCAACAACTCCGTCGCGCCATGAACAGCCATCCTTCGCCCATAGAGCATATGGACGTCGAAAGGAGGTCGTCGTCGCCCAAGCGCAAGAAGGTCCGCCAAAAGTACGCGCCCAAGGCATGTAAGTCGCGCCTTCCGCTCTTGCAACTTCCGCTCGGCATCTCTGGAGCTTCCTATGCAGCATTCCGATGGTTCCGTAGTGGTTCGACGCAGCTTCGCGCGACAAGACAACGGTGACATGCCATCAGCCGGCTGACAGACGGGTCTAGGTGTATCATGCAGGCGGTCGAAGCTCAAGGTACGTTGTCTCGGTATACTGCCCGACTCGTTTTCCAATGTGTCGCTCCTTCCTTCTCTGTGCGACAGCGGTCCTTCCGCAGCTAAGATAGACGCAATTCACACGGCAACAACACTCGGAGGCATCAGCACTAACTAAAGCAGTGCTCCGGTGAAAATCCATGCCAACGATGCATGGACAACGGCAAGCGATGTTTCTTCTCTGAAGACCAGACAGCGGCCGAAGCCCTGCAAAACCTCAGTCGACCGACGCCCGTCCTTCAGTCGCAAGCCTCCAACACCAGCGGCAACGGCAACAGCATACCACGAAGAACTCTGATGCCATCCGACAATGGCACGGAGCGGAGGGCGAGCGATGCCAGTACACGCGGCATGAGTATGGAAGCACGCATGGCCCGCATCGAGGCTATGATGGAGGCTCTTATGCGCGACCGAGGCCTGGCCATGACACCAATGGGCAGCATAGAGCGCGAAGACAACGGTAGTGATGGCTTTCGGGGCGACGCCGCCTTGTCTGTCCCGCCGCTGGACCCCATCAACCCAGCCCTCGCCTTCATGGGACAGCCTTCCCTCTTCTCACACGAGCCGTCAGACTCAGGAAACTCGGCTCTGCCAGGCCCTGGCCCTGCATTCAATGGCGAGCCACCGCATCTCATACAAGTGGGCAACAAGAAGTTGCCCTACCCCAGCCCGGCGGATTACCAACAGTACCTAGCCTCATTCTTCACCGACATCCACCTGTCTCATCCGTGCATAGATGAATCCGAGTTCCGCGGTCGCAGCGAACACATGCTAGCGAGCACCACCATACCCCTACAAGACCACCAGTTCCTCGCGCTGAACTACAGCATCTTTGCTTGCTGCGACATACTGCTCAATGTCGCGCCAATCGATACTGGCAAACCGAAAGGCTGGCGATGGCTTGAGCTGGCCGACGACCTCGTCGATAAGAGGTCACTACTGAACGGAAGTGGCGATCTGACACTGATACAATGCGTACTATTTCAGGTAAGTTTGTGGACATCCAAAGCTTGTTACATGAGAGTTGACTGTCGCAGGCTATATACTATTCTTACGCAGATATGCCCGGTCCGGCTTACAACACTATCGGTGCCGCTGCCAGACTCGCGTTCCAGTCGTCTTTGCATCAGCAGTCTACATGGACAAACATCACAACCGCACAAGCATACGAGCGTATCTGCACATTCTGGAACGTATTTGTACAAGACCGCTTCATCTCGTTGACCTTCGGACGCCCGTATACAATCCATGAGACCGACATCCAAGTCGAGGCACCCGCGGATCTGTCCGAAAGGGTGAGTAAAGCTCCTACCTAACCTTGCGGTTATTGTTTCTCACCATCTTTAGGCGATGCTATACAAGGCTGATGAGATCGATCCAAGACGTTTCATTGATCACTATATTCACTACATGATACTCTGGGCACGCTATGCTGACAACAATATTGACGGTCGTAGCCTCGATGGCGCAACGCAGGAGGTCATTGACAGGCAGATCTCATACTTCCTCGAGCAGGATTTGCAAACACTAGAAATTCCTCATGCCCAGCCAGTCGGTGCGACCGTTCCGCCTCTAAAAGTTTTCATTACCCAGAAGAAGACCGACTTCGTGCTCTGGGGCTTACGCTCCGTCATAACCTCTCTCCAATACGACGACAATCATGCTTCTCACTTCAGCAATCTTGCAGTCTTTACTGTCAGCCGAATGGCCACGTTTGCTCAAGACATCCGACAGCCTTTCAGCCTTCGAAACCGCATGGTATCATCTCTCTCGAATGCTCTACTCGTTCTTTGCTCTCTCCTTGTACGAAACGTCGCTGGGAGGAATCAATCCCACGTTGAAGCTTTTCGCGATGCTTTGGCCTTGCTACGCGATCTCGCATATAGTCTGCTATATGCGAAGCGTGTCCTATCTGACTTTGAGAGTCTTGTTGACATTGTCGAGGAAGTCGTTGACGGAAAGGCTGTGCCGGGGAATGTCGCAGAGCTGTTCCCCTATAGATCTGCGAGCCCTCCTTTCCGCCTACCACACGCCCCAGGAACAGCGAGAGGCATCGAGGGGACTCATGCGGTCGGTAATGGTAATGGTAACAGTAACGGGCCTGGTGAAAATGGGTGTGGCGTTTTGTGGCTCTAACGGTCGGCGTTCTACGTGGTCTGAGGGGCATTTTACTCCTTGTATAACAGCGGTCTTGCATAGATACCCACTGCCTCAACACAGGCTAGGAGATGGCGTTTGGAGTTATTACATCTTCATTTCTTACTTATCTGCTTTCACATGTGACGTGCATTGGACGGTTGCGTTGCTCAGACTACATTCGCTCCTTAGCTTTTTATACAAGAGTTGTTCAATTTCTGGTCAATAACGTCGTGTAGGCACAGCGGAAGCAGACAAAATGGCAGAACCAGAACCAACCCAGGGAGACATGATAGAGTTGGAAAACCTGGAGACCCGCCCAGATATACACATTGCGATGATCAGTATTACTATCACCAACAGTGCAGTTCCGTGTAACACACAGCCTGATCGTATCACAAGAAGCAGGTTTCTGCAACCCAGGCGACCACCTCGACCGAGCCGAAAATATAGTCAATACCCAGACAGTGCGAGAAGCATGCAACTGATCTATACCATCCGCTTGCGATCGAACAACGAAAGGTCACCGAGATGAACAGCGATCTTGAGAAGGGAAGATCAAGACATAATCAAGAGAAAGGCAAAATAAAGGAAAGACCACCGTACTAGATCGTTGTGATAGTATTGATCTGTTCGCTTGGTACATAGATCCAGGCTCGATAGAGCAAGGGCATGTGGCACGACTTTGAGGAGCGTATGAAGCACATGAAGCACATGTAGGAGCAGAACCTTCGGTAGATTGTCAATGAACACCAAGAGTACGATTAGGGTAGAAAACGCTATCAGGGGAGCCTACTTTCTTGGCTTCCAGGCCTAGCCGGTTCTGACTGTCTGCAGGCATGCGCATTTCCTAGTCTTGGTCCATATGGTAGAAGTTCGTCGTCTCCTGGTCCCCTTTTGCCTACAATCTGTTCACTAGCTGAAGACGGGATCTTCTTTTGACCCACTGTTCTCAACGGCCAGCTAAAATGCCCTTGTACCAACAGAATGAGGAGTTGAGAACAAAGCAAGCTAATGCAGTAAGTAAAGTGCTGGAAGGATACACGACAATAGAGGCGTTCAAGATAGCTGCAAGTGAGCAAGCTTGGAGACAATAGCTCTCATTGTTTGAATGATAACTGCGTGGGGAGGAAGTCAGAAGAAGACAATGTCTTGTGTGCGATGAGCGTACAATTGGATCTTCTTTTAGGGGAATGCAGTTCGACCCCCACGTTGGGCTTTCCTTTTGCTCTCGTTCGTGCTGTCCAGCAATAGCTTTATCTTTTTACAATTTACAGCCGCCAGCTACTAGACTAAGCGTCTCTAGGCTCATCGTGCTTTTTGTACAACTAGGGATGGCGCAAGGAAGGTAGAGCTCAATATCACAACCTACAAAGTTGCCCGTGCGAGAGCAGTGAAAGTCTTCCCTGCTGGTAAAAGTATGTCTAACAAGACTTGATGCTTGATTTTCCTGCGCTGAAGGGACTAGGTTCTTCACACAGTAAAGAAACACAGTTTACATTGATTCAGTGACAAGGAGATTATCTCTTCTCATCGTCATGGTAGTCTTCAT